ATAAATTATATAAAAGAATTATATTTAAAAATTTAAATAAATTAAAGAATTACAATATAGAACATTATTAATTAAAATTGATATTTATAATTTATGTGTCAAAGATTGAAAATCTTTATATTCAAAGAGACCATAAGTTGATATAATGAAAATAATTAGGTAGAGATCTAAATGATTCAAACATTATATGGAGTGAAGTTAATGATAATAGGAATATTAAAAATTGTTTGATAATATTAAATATTAATATCATAAATAATTATAGTTTTATGAAAGTGGGTATTTTAGGAGGATGTTGTTCATATTTGAGTTATTTGGTTTGGAATAATTATACAAGCAATTAAGTAGAATTGTATTCATTGAATACTGAATTGTAGAATCAAATAATCGAAAATTGTCCATCACTTACATCTTATAGACCTCCTGCATTTTACTGTGGATTTCTACATACTGTAATACCTACAATATCAAGACCAAAGGAGAAACACATATCAAATTTAGAAAAGATTGGTGATACAGGAATTTCAGTAGATTTTGTAGACAAGGGATAATAGATTAATTGTGATTAACCTTTATTATTGATTATCCCTGGATTGACTGGAAAAGTCTAAAATGGGTAAGAGTGCATCCTTAATCAAATAGATATGTGAATAGTCTTATTACTTAAGCTCATCAATATGGTTTTAACAACATTTGCATATACACTTATAGAATGTTATCAAAAGAAGCTAATTTCCTCTTTGTTCCTCCTTATTAAGATTATGGAATTGATTTATAAGGAATTGATTAATAATATTTTCGTAATGATGTTATTACAGGATAAACTACTAGAGTTGATTTAGCTGCTGATTTACACTACACACTTAAATATTTAAAATAAAAATACAAATTCAAATAAATATTAGCTATTGGTTGTTCCTATGGAGGTGTTTAATTAGGCAATTATTTAGGTAGATTTTAAGAAGACTCTTATATTGATGCAGGTGTTACAATCTGTTCACCACATAATATTACTGAATCAGAAAAGAATATATCCACTATTATGGATCTTACTATGACTTATATTCTAAGAAGAGGATTAAAAATTAATAAACATTTATTTGATGATCCTCAAAACTATCCTAAGTAATGGTCTCCTTAAATATCTAAAGCTATGAATTCTTTGTTTGTTCATCAATTTGATAGATATTATACATCTTAAGTCTATGGATATAAATCTGAAGTTGAATATTATAAGCATTTCTCATCCTCTTATAGATTTCCATAAATTAAAATTCCAATGTTATGTATAGCATCTAAAGATGATTATGCTGTTAATATAAAAGCTTTATCTTTAGATTAATTAATTTAAAATAAGTAAACAATAGTATGTTTAGCTAAAACAGGAGGACATATCGGATTTTTAGAAGGATTTAATGCAGATAGTACTTGGTTCCCAAAACCAGCTTTAGAATTTTTATAATATTTTACAAAGGAATAAGAAATGGAATAATATAAAGGTTAATGATATTTTATATATTCAAATAATTCAAAAATCTTCAGTTATTTCATCAACTTCTTTAATTCCTAAATCACCAAAGAATTAAGTAAGTACAGAACTCCTTTTAGGAATTCCCAAACTATCTAATTGATTAATAACTTTATTTTGATCTTCAGTTGTGAGATTGATACTAGATTCAATTTGAGATCCTAATTATTGAAATAACTTCTAATTATTGAATTGAGAATTAGATTCCTATTATTCTTTTAATTCTTAACTTTATTAAATAGCAAAATCATCAAAAGGATCTGAGGAACCTTTGATTTCACAAACTTTTCCTAAAAAAATAATGAATATAAATATATACTTAATGCTTCAGATTGAGTTTAATAAGATATTTCTTGTCTACTTCCAAATCTACTCATTATAACATTACTACTGCTAATAGAATTCATTAATTAAATTGGTCCTCTTTTTTCATTTTATTTCTATACAATATGAATATTTCCAAAATTCTTAGTCAAATCTTCTACATCTACTCTTTCTTAATTGTTTTCTCCTTACAACTTTTAAAGAACATTACCCAAATTATAATTATGATAACCAAAATAATTATTATTAATTGCTAGACTAGTTTATAATTATTTCATATGTTTATTGCTATTATGAATTAAATTCTCTAAATTAGTACTTATTATTAAAGGAGTACTTTCTCTTTATTATTATTCAAAAAAAGAATTTCTTAATGCATCATCTATTGAAATTCTCTTCTATCTATCATATTCTAACATTCCTATAATTAAATTCTATAAAGGAATTTCTAATTCTTTTAATTATTCTTTAAATTTCCATTTATCTGGACTTCTCAATAATTCAACAAAATCTTGATATTCATCACTATGTAATGGAAGTTTTTGAAATAAACATTAATAAGTAATTACTCCTATAGCCCAGATATCTACTTCTTTAGAATAACAAGATTTATGGTATATTTCAGGAGCACAATAAAATATATTTCCCGTTTTTGTTAACATTTCTATTTCCTAACCTTTTGATTAAAATCTCCTTGATACTCCAAAATCTACTACCTTTACTCTTACTTCATTTTAATCCATATTTTCACTTAAATCCACTAGAACATTATCAGGTTTCAAATCTCTATGACAAATACCTTTCTGATGAGCATGTTAGATAGCTAAAAGTAATTATTTTATCACTATTTTAAGTTCCATTACTGTCAATTTTCGCTTCTTTATTATTGATTCTAATGAATTGAATGCGCAATACTCCATTATTAAATATGAAGTTTCCATCTTTTCATTTATAAATAATTCGATATCCTATGCAATATTAGGATGTCTTAAACATCTAGTGTTATTAAAAGTTCTCTTAACATTGTTTTATATTTCTTAATCTCCAGATCTCACTATTTTCACTGCAAAAATCTCTTCTGTATCTTTCTTTCTAGCTACCTTCACTACAGCATGAGCACCTTAACCTAATCCACATTATTATAATGTTTATACCCAATGTTTATAATGCTTCATATCTATCTTCAAATTTTAGAGCATCGTCAAATTGATTAAGAGTGATAATCTCTGGTTTTACTTCGTCTTCACTAAAGGATATTTAAAACTTAAGACGATGACCTCCATTCATTTTATATATAATATTAAATACATGCGTTTATTTCATAACTATATCAAATCAGATATTTAATGTCTTTATCAAGTTTCTCACCTCTTTGTATAAATTACTAAAATATCCCTCTACTTTAAATCCTTATTTAGTTTTACTCACTATCACTTAACCATTATTTAAACTAATCTAACAAAATCCTAATTCCAATTTTAAATCTCCTCTCTTTTTTAATTCTTCATATAATGTCAACAACTATATATTCTAATGACAATTTGGTTTTTTATTTTACGTTGCTACCAATTTTAAAATTTATGTCATCGTCTGGGTATTTCTAAAGATTTTTACTTCTAATTTCCCTTTAACTTATATTGCTGATCTTATCTCAATCTATTTTTCAGACATTTCAACAAAAGGTAAGTTTTATCCATCATTTAATGAAATAAGTGATTAAGCTTAACTTTATTTTGCTACTGCCAATTATACTCCACTTTATCTAGGTTTTGTACTTGGATTTAAAATTAAAAGATTTTAAGGATTTAAATATTCTAAAAGCATTTAAGCATTTCTTAAATTTTAAGGTATTTATTTAACAGATACCATAGCTTAAACTGTTAACATTTTTAAATTCTAAATTTTATTTATATTAGGTAATGCAAAAGTTGCCTCTTATAATTTATTCTTTTCATTTTCTGCATCTTATTCTTCTTCCATTTATTAAGTTTATGTTTCAATCTATTATCTCCTTTTAGTTTTCAATAATTTAACATATTTAGGTATTTCTGAACCATAATCATCTCTTTAATGTAATTATTACATAGGTCTAAGTGGTTTATCTAATTGTGCAGTTGTAAATTAAATTTATTCTTATATATATTTAAAATAATATTACCTTTAATTTCATCATCTACAAAATACAATTAATTATGTTATTTGTATATATTTTTATCATATAAAGGTTCAAGATTAGGTTTTGGATCACTCAAAACTGAAAATTGATCATCTGTTTTTTAATTGCCAATGTCGACACTTTAAGTTTCTACTAAATCTGTTGAACTACCAGGAATGAATGTTGTACTAGGAGCATTTGATATTAATTTATTTTCTTTTTCATTTGTTTTTAATAATAATCTAAATTAATTTAATTATTAAATTTACTTTCTAATATAATTTAAATTTATTGAATATGATTCTTTAACTTAAAGATTTAACTCAAAATTCTTTCTTATCTTTCCCATATTCTCATTAATTAAACATGGAGGTTTATCAAAAATAATTATTGTATTATTTGGATCAATTAATAAATTTTCTTAATAGAAAGGACCAGAAAAAAGATTATTATAGGATGTAAGTATAATTTATGATTTAATTTTTGATTAATTATCATAATTTAGTGATTAAATATTATCCCAACACAGAAATTCTCCAAATGCTCTTGCCTTATCTACTAAATCTAGATATAAAACATTTATATCCCATTTCATTCCTACATACTTCTCATTTTCTTTAAAAATTTAATGCAGTGACTTAATACCCTCTAAAATTCTTTCATTTGGATAAAATGCAAATATTAATTACCCTTATTATTTTTTATGATACTAACTCAACTCTTCTTCCATTTTAGTCTTAATAAAATATTAAGATTATGTCACCTATTAATTACTTATAGGTTATATTGTTTCTTTTGGATAATTCTCTAAAATTAGTAAATCAATAATCTCTCTATGAAGTAATGATTATTTTTAATTCTTAATTAATAATCGTTCTATATTTAAAGAATCTATATGTAATTCTTTTATCATATTATAATCTGTAATGTAAATTATATTTAATGTATTAACTTAAATTTTCCAAGCACATGCTCCAATTACTTTTCCTGCTCTTATTGGACAAACTGTTACTTAAAATAATCCATTTTCAAACATCATTGTTTCATTCTATCCAAATTTTAAAGGCTTTATTTGACGATATGCATCATCTGCAGCATCTAATAATCTTTTCCATTCTTATTTAAAATCATCCTCCAAAACCTCTTTTTTTAGAAATGCTTATTATAAATGAATCAATTGATCAACAAAATTTCTAACACCAAATTCAATTATTGGACTTGTAGATAATGTCTTTATTTAGAATTCTGATATTAAAGGCAAACCTCCAGCATATTCAATTGATGGTTATGATAGCAACACTAATTTTGACTAATTTATATTTCTAAATTACTTTCTATATTTTATTCATATAATGCTTTAGATGATTACATTCCAATCTTTAATTCAATCCACAATCTAACATTATCTATAATTTATGGTTTTTCTATTCTAAAATTAATAGCAAACAAAGGGCACCGTTTTCAGATATTGTTTACACACTAAAAACTTCCACTTTCATTTACTTAATATAAATATAAAATAATTAAAATAAATTCATTCTTCTTTAAGAATAGCCATAAATCTATCTTAAAATTCTTTTTAATAATTCTCAATCTATTGTGATTATTTTTCAAATTAATTTTTCTGAATCAATAATTTTTCCTCTATTTCTTATAATCTTTTATTTTAGTAGTTAAAAGTTGACACTAAATTAATAAACTCTAATTCAAAATCAATACAATTCTCACATTCAAATTCTTCTTTTTAAGATTCTTTACGAGAGTTTTACAATATTCTTCCAATTTCCTATATCTATTAATTAATTTTTTTTATGTAATCATTAATTATGGGAATATTGTTAGATTCAACATCTTAAAAAATATTTTAAGCTTCTTTAAGACCCCTTTAAATGGTTGAATTCAAGCCATAATATATCTCGTTAAATTTTTCTCTTAATTTTGAAAATTTATTTTGGATTATGGATGATTATTCTGATATATTTGGTTGCTCTTCAAACACTTTTAGAGGAATTGAAGTATGGTTTTATTTAAGTATTCTTTAAATATGATAACTTAAAATAATATCTTTGTATTCTTAATTTGATAAATTATATTCTATTTTTTAAAATTGAGGTATTACCTTCTAAAACATTAATAGCTGAGTTTATTGACATATTAAAGTCCCAATTCTAAATCATTTAATTTTCTTGAAAAAGGTTTGTAAATATATATAATTAAAATGTAATATCAAATTATGAATAAGAATTTTAAAATCATCTCATTTATTATTAATAAATAGTGTTTAAAAAAATTCATTATACATATTTAATTAGACTATTGATATAAAAAACAAAAATATATTCCTATTAGATTAATTTAAGTAATCCACCATAACTTATGATTTTCTAATTAAATAGAAAAATTTTGAGAATTTTCTTATCTTGTAAATTAAAAAAAAAAAGTCAGCAATTAAAAATAAATTCACAAATATTGAATTAAAAAAAGAAGTTAAAAATTAATATATTTTTACCATAAAAAAGTTTAGCAAATAAAAAAATCTTAACGTCAAACAATAATTCAAGATAATTGAATTATAGGATATAATTGTAGATGAACTAAAATTCGAACATAAATTACATATAAAATTAATTTGTTAAATTTTTTTTTTTTATAAGAAAAATAAATTTATGGATAGATCTTTGCTTTTTGAATATATTATATTATCAATAATTTTAATTTTCAAAATACATTATTATCAAATTACATAATTAATTGATCATATTTTTGTAAAATATGAAAAATTAATTAATTTATCATGAATAAAAATAATTTAAAAATTCTTAAGGAATTACTAAATAATATATATCATTCAAATTCCATGTCATCGCTTGAACTAAGTTCACTATCTGAGTTCTCTTAATATACAATTTGATATGGGTTCTAAACTCCAAGATGAACTCTTCTGATATAACAATAGAATCGATTTTTGATCATATTTTCCTAATAAATTAAAAAATAAAATATTTACAGGTCTTCCCTTAAGATGAGAGGATATAAGACTCCATTTACCTCCATAATCCTAATACAATCTAATTATGGTGGCATCTTCAGCTTCAGTCCATGGGCCAGTGTTAATATCAGGATCAATTTTATTAATATATCGTTCTCTAATCTATTTGCTCAAAATACCCGGAAAGTCTAGAGCACTATAGTTGAATTAATTTTTACGTAAAGCGATTAATTTCCAATTCTTGCCATGTTGTTAGACTAATTAAAGAATCTTCTCATCTTCATTTTAGGTCCATTACTTTCTTTTAATCTAAATTAAATATATATAATTTTAATTACAATTTTAACTGGTTGTAATCTTCTCCATCTTTAACAACATTAAGAAACATTTCTTCCTGGCATATGTTTAGCAATTTCATTCCACTTTCCATTGTGTTTTTCATAATTGATACGTAACTAAGCATCTTCATTGGCATCCCACAGCTTCAATATTCTTTTCTTAATAATATTAGAATAAAAATGATACTTTTTTAGTACTAGTTTGTTCCTTTTTGATATTACTATCATTTTCCTCTTACATAGGTTGATTACTTATGACTTCATCTTAAAGAATAAAACCAGAGGGTAATTAAGTAGAAGGAGGATCACTTGATGATTAGAAACTTATATTATCAAATAAGAACTTACTCCATTTATTCAATATAGTAATCATTATCTAATTGTAGGTATTAATCCGTTTCTATAATGGAGTTTTATGAAACTTAGTTTGTCATTGTTTCCTAAACTACAGGTTGAATGGATAGAGTTTGTACTGGTTTTTGTATAGGTCTATTGGCTTTTTCTGGTTTTTCTCTATTAGAAAAGCAGCAGATTGATTAAAAAAAATTGAACATGATAATTAAAATAATTTTCAAATCTCAGCAAATATAATGTTAAATGTTCTTTTATTCCAATTAGGAAAAATACCATCAGCATAATCTACAGGACCAGGCTGATTATTTTTAGGAACACTTTTTGAAAATCTTTCTTACTATATTATATAAAATATAATAAAACCTTGCACATGAAAGGAGGGGGATCTTTTTTTTTCTTTTTAAATAATCCTAATTAATTTGATCCTGATTTTTCTAAATAAAAAGGTTCATCATCTTCTTCATCTTCATTTACTTCTTTAATTTTCCATCTTTCAGATCCAACCCCAAATGGTGGTTTAACAACTGCCAATTTAGGATCATCCTCTTCTGGTTTTATTATTTAATGAGCAATAGTATGTTAATTAACATTATAAGCACCTGGAGCTGGATTTATATTTGGAATAGATAAATCTTAACTTTTAGGAGCTTGACTCATAAAAGCACAAGTTCCTTTTTATTCTGGTAATTTCTTATCTTTTTTATCATCTTCAATTTTATCAACTTCATATGTTCCAGGACCTGGAACTAATAATTTTTATTCTTTAAATCTATTTTCATTAACCCCAAATTATCCTAAAGGAGCTTTCATTAACTTTTATATTAATCTTTATTCCATAGTATTTGCCGCTTTGTATTGTCCAGGAGCAGGAGTGTCAGAAAATTATTATTCAAATCTATTTCTACTTATCAAGAAGGGAGGTTAAGGACCTTTAAATCTATGGGCAGCTACTTCTAATTAGTAGCTTCCAGGTCCAGGGGTATGTTCAGATTTTGTATGAAATCTTTTAGTTCTCGTTTTAATAGAACCTTTAGCTTAAGATTAATTAAGAAATTAAGAAATAGTTTATTAGGTAGAGGCATTTTCGTAATAACCAGGTCCTGGTGTGGCATCCTAATAAATTCAAATAGAATACTTCGATATAACTATACTCTGAATCAATATCAGTCTCTCTAGCTGTAGTTCCTGGATTAGTTGATTAATGAAAACTATATTATTTGTTATCCAATCCTTTTTTTATATATCCGGTGTTGTTTTTTTAAATTTAAAATCTGAGATCAGTATTACGACTTTATTTTGAGCTGAATGATGTAGTTGGTTTCATTTAGTACATAGGTTGTGATTAACTACTAACATCATAGTAACCAGGGCCGATAGGTGATTTATAATCTTTTTTTTCTTGGCTATTTGGTTTATGCCATGATACTCCTCTGGGTTTTGTATTAGCAAATGTACTTTTAAGTTCATATGATCCTGGACCAACATCATATGAGTTATCAATAGGATGTTATTCCAATATATTGTCTTAATTTATTATTGATTAAAACCTTTATTTTCTATATAGCCTTGATGAACATTAGAAGGGATAGAAGGTATACTTATATATTTTTTATCTCTAGCTAATTATTCCAAAATATTGACTTTTTTTGTACGATTGGGTTATCCTGCAGAGTGAAATTTCTTCCTTTCCTCTTAAAAGTATTGTGTAGGTCTATTAGATATAATAAGATAATTGTACCCAGGTCCTTCAAATGAGTTTTCTTTAAACCTTACAGTAGTAGATCTGAAAACTGATATTGGTTTAGGTACTTCCAATATTTTGATTTCTTGTTCATCAGATTGAAAGATGACTTTTTGACTCTCAAAGGAGCCTTAGAGATTGTAAGTTCCTGGACCTGGAAGTATATTAGGTTCATTAGATTTAGTTACTCTTTAGACAGTTGAATTAAATGGATGTTGGTTTGATCTTGATTAGATTTCAGGGATGTGATCATATTATCCAGGTCCTACTAATTCAGTTTTCGGTATATAAGTGCCTCTAGTTTCACTTCTATATACAAAAGCCATTTGAATATACTATATAGTTAATTAAATAATCTATCTCAATCCTTTTAAGTAATCCATTCCAATAATGTACCATTATCCCATCTACCTTTATGTTCTTCTCCTTTTTCATCAATTACTGATCCTAATCCATGTTATCTACCATCATGCCATTCTCCTACATATTTAGATCCATCAGCTAGACAAATATTAAAGAGATTTACGCCAATCAAATGTTCCATAACCTTATTTCTTATCATTCTAATAAGATCCTTTATATCTTCTACCATCTGCCCATTTAAATTCTCCAGATCCATGCATTTTGTTTTATCTCCATTAACCTATATATGTTCTTCCATCACCCCATACATAAGTTCCTATACCATGAATAGCATTGTCTAAGAATTCCCCTTCATAATATGATCCATCTGGCCATCTAAATTTCCCATGTCCTTCCTTCTTACTTTATATATAAGCTCCTTTATAACTTGTGCCATCTGGCCATATTTCATGACCTACCCCATCTTATTTGTCATCTTTCCAACACCCTTCATAACTTGCACCATCTGCATGTACATATTTCCCTTATCCATGTGCTTTATCATTATCCCATTCTCCCTCATAATAATCTCCATCTGCATGTATCAATCTGCCATGTCCATGAGCACAACTATTTTTCCAATATCCTTCATAATAACTTCCTTCCTTCCATACTTATCTCCCTTTAATTTAGAATATAGCTTATACCTCTACCCTATCTTAATCCATATTTCCATTAACCATCATAGACCATTCCTTACTCAAATATTTAAGGCTCTAAATAAACAGCCTCTGGATCATCACCTCTTGTATATTAGTATTCCTTTAATTTATTACGCACCATTTTCACTTTTGCACCTATCAAACTTTCTAGTTCACTTGCTGGTCTACCCCAAGGCTATGCAAGCTTTGCTACTGGACAATGTACAGACATTAATTATTCAGAATTTGTCTTCTATTTTTAAATATCTACACCATTTCCAACCATTGATAATGATGCTTCCTTCTAAATATTTATTGAAGGCTTTTGACTTGTTCTCAATTAATGCTATGAAGTATTAATTATCTCAGCTAATGATGCTTTTGAAAATGGTTAAGATCTTCTAACTATTGAGTGTAAAGATGCTTTAGCATTCTAATGACCCCCATATTCATTTGTATTTTATGGATCATTCATACATGCTTAACAATTACCCATTTCTATTTTCAAATTATTTTTATTATTCTTTTATTTATTTTACTCATTTTAAACATTCTCATCACTGCACTAGTATCATTAAAAAATATTCACTAATTTTTAACCATTCTATTTCAAATATTTCTATTACTGGATCAATCTAAAATATTACAATTAATACTAAAATGTTTTAATTTACCACTCACTCATTCTATATTACAATCATTTAATCACTAAATAAATTAAAAATTAACTGTCATTATATATAATTATTTATTAAATTAGCACTTCCTTTCATATTATTATAGATTTGATTACAAAATAACATTAAATATATTTCATTTATATTATTTTTATTATTTATAATTTCTAGAGATTTATGAAAATAAAATGTTAATTTTGTAAAATCTATAATAGATAATTCAAAACATGAAATGCCCCTAAAGAATATCTAATGGTGTCAGTGAATTTCTTAGTGTGATTTCATGAATCAAAAAACAAGTTAATGAATAATATACATAAAATATTCGATTATAAAATATCTTTAATTTTCTTGAGTTCAAAACTATGTTGTATATCCAAAAAATTCATAAATAAAATATCCAGAAATATAAAAATGACACTCTTTGAATAATTAGGAGGTGAAGCCGCAGTCACAGCAGTCACAACATAATTCTATGCTAACATCCAAGCTGATGCTACTGTTTCTAATTTCTTCAATGGAATCAACATGGCTGATTAAACAAATAAGACAGCTTCATTTTTATGTGCTGCTCTTGGAGGACCAAAGGCATGGGGAGGAAGAGTATAATTATATATTTATTATATATTAGAACTTGAAAGAAGTTCATGCCAATATGGGAGTCACTAATGCTCAATTCACAACAGTCATTGGACATTTGAGAAGTGCTTTAACCTCAGCTGGAGTTGCTGCTGATTTGATCGATTAAACCGTCGCTGTTGCTGAAACAGTTAGAGGAGACGTTGTCACAGCCTGATTTATATAATATATCATGCACAAATATAAAATAGCATCTACAAAATCCATCTTCTTATTTTTCATTTTTTTCAAATATTCTTCAGACTAATCTAGAAAACAAAAATTTCCACTTCATAAATTTAAAAATTAATTACCTTTTTATACACATATCCTTCTATCGTAAATTTTCTTAATCATAATCATAATCCTTCTAGAAAATAATATAATTGTTTTAATTTAAAATACAATCAAATATCTTTATTTCATAAATTAAACGATAACTTTTCTTATTTTCTTAATCAAGGAAAACCATTTACATATTTTATTTTAGTCTCTACTTTCTGTTGCGTTGAAAATCATTATTTCGGAATTTTTAAATCTTTATTTTAAATTGATTAGATTTTAAACAAAAATTCAAAAATTTCTTATTATTTTTTTAATCATTTTAAAATACAAGACAATTTAATTGGATGATTAAAATTATTATTTTAAAGACAAACAATAACAAATTCTATTTTATATCAATGTTTATAAATATATATTTTAGATCTATTTAATTTTTTATTATTCTATAATTGAGTATTACCCAATTCAAATAACATCTAAATTAATCTTTTAAGGAAAATAGTTCCATAAATTAAATAATCATATCTTAATTTCATTAGTTGCAAGCGCCAAATTATTAAAATATAAGTTCAGTGAAATATCAGATTACACTAGTTATATATAAAAATTAATTGATTTTCGTACTATAATATCATTATTTAAATACAATAATACATTTCTTCCTATTTATTTTATCAAAATAAATAGAAATTTGATTTAAGAACAACTTACAATCTTTAATTCTTTGTTTTTCAAAGGAAATGAGTAAAAATTCTTTAACTTGAATAAATTATTAATTTGTTAATTCAATCAACTTAGATAAATTATTTATCAAATTAAAAATTAATGAATATATTATTACTAATTTTTGAAGAAAGATTAGATTTTTCAATGTGTATTATGTATGATCGGATTTCAAATTTATTTGAATCACTCGTTTTAGAAAAAGGAGGAAATGAATATTTTAGGAATTATGAATATAGACATCTAAATTTCTAATTATCCAATTAAGGAATCCAAATTTTCTAATTTTTTGAATGAAAACCTAACTTTTAAAAAAGAATAATAGAGAATAATTTAATATAAATTGATTGATAAGAAAGATTGGTTAAAGTTTTAAATATAAGTAACATATAATTATATATTTAAATTCATAATAGCATATAATTAGATTAAATTATTTCTCTTTCATATCTCTAGTTATATAACAATTACTATCATAATCATTAAAAATTTTTAATAATGAAGGTATAATAAAATACTTTTTCTGAATTAATCTGAAAATTTTATTATCTTTTATTCTTTAAGATTAATCTGTTTAGAGATTAAGATGAATTATGTAAATACTCAGGTAGATTTTATTGTGCAGGCTTTCAAATCTGTAAATTGTTGATTTATACTCAATTCTAAAGTAGAATAGACTTATTAAATCAGATTTAATTAAAGTAAATGCAGAAATAAATATTCTCTTAAAATAGCATATTTATTGTAAATACAGAATTATATTAGATATATATAATATAAATAATTTCTGTTTATGAAGATTTTAATATGATTCATTTTATCCTAAATATAATAAAATAAATGAAAATAATAAAAATAGGTACAATAGTGAGTATTTCACATTTATCAGATACTTATTTACAATGGAAAGATCCATAAGACTATTCAGGCATTTAATGAATTTATTGATAAAAAATAAAAGATACTGATTTAAATTGGATAACTTTTAGAAAAGCTCATGAATTAATAAAAGAGAAGCAAAATCAGAAAAATAAAGTAAATAGATGGAATAATCCTCATTTATCATTTCTGACTTATTGACTCATTATACTATTCTACTGATATATTTTAAAGATTCAACGAAAAGAAGGATAAAGAAAGACAACAAAACACTCAATAAAAAACTTAATCAATAAAATTTAAGGAGTAAATTCTATCCCAATAATCAATGACTTTATTATGAATCTCATTTTCTAACTCCATAAACTTATTGAATTGTTAATAAATTTGTTTTTATTTTAGGTTTCTTTCTCTTTAGTTATTGATGAATTGTGGGTAAAGGCAACTCTTTACTTAATTTGTCAGAATAATAATCACTCAAAGATATGGATTTACTACCCTTACTTGATTAAATTTCATATTTTTGAATCTCTAAGTTTTTTTATTATTACTCAGATTCTGATCTCACATTTGATGGATTTTTTTCTATTTTATTCATTAGTCTATCGAAAATTGGATATCTTTCTGTTTTATTTGATCTCCTACTAGAAGGATTTTTTGGAGTTATTTGAGGTTATTATTATTATATTTATTAACTATTTATACTATTTGTATTGTTGTTTGTTATAGTTTCTTATTTTTCATCTTCAATTGTCATATTTATTTTAATATCACTTTTAGCAGTTTAAGAATTCAATTCAATCAATTAGACTTAAAATTAATCAGAAGCAATATCTGCACAAGTTTATCCACCAGATTGAATTATTTAATCCAACCACAAATAATAAGCAGTAGTTGCATCATTATGTTGATTAGAAATTAAACATTGATAGATATACTTTTTTGAATATCCCAATTTTTCAACTTAATTTACAACATTGTTATCAATAGGAATTTTATGTTATCCTATTAAAATTCCTTGTTTAATTTAAAAATTTGTTTTGTATAAATTAAACCAAGGATGCTTTCTTATTTAATCAATATTTGGTCTTTCATCTGGATCAGGATTCAAAATAAATTTAAGTACATCAATTGCATCACTACTTAAGAAATTTGGAACCTTATAATTGGCTGATAGAATTTTTTTATATAACTAATTTGTATTTGCATCTTCAAAAGGTAGATATCCACATAACATTACAAATAGTACAACACCACTACTCCAAATATCAGCTTTTAAACCACTATAGAGTTTTCCTGATATCATTTCAGGAGCTGCATAACAAGGTGATCCACAAGCTGTCTTTAATAATTCATCATAAGTATTTGAAAGACCAAAATCTACAATTTTGATTCGACCTTTAATTAAGAGATTTTCTGGTTTTATGTCTCTATGAACAATTTTTAATTTATGTAAATATTCTATTCCTGATAATAGTTATTAAAATAAAGCACATGCATTTATTTCTGGTATTTTCTTATTTTTAACAATGTAACTAAAAAGTTCTTTTTGGCAATATTCCATAACGATAAAAATATATTTATTAGTTTCAAAGACTTCATATAACATTATAACATTTGGATGTCTAACAATTTTCAAAATATGCAATTCGCGTTATACTCTCTCTATATCAACAATATCAACCATTCGTGATTTATTCATTATCTTAATAGCTACTGTTTATTATGTTGGAATGTGAACTGCCAATTTTACCTTTCCAAAAGTTCCAGAACCAATAGTTTTTCCTAATTGATAGTTGCCAATACATTTCATAATATAATTTATAATAATCACATAATAGTACAACATCCAGTCTAATTAATTCTTATACAATTATGATCCTCCTACATTCTATGTTTAAGACAAACTTCACGTTGACATTTTTTACATTAAAATTTATTCAGCTCATTTAGTTTTACTTTACATTAATTACATTTTTATTCCTCTTTTTTTATTTATCCACATACATGTTATCTTAAAATATCATTTTCACATTAATTTGATTAATATTGAATAACATTTTTGCATTTAGAGCATTGTAAAGCTTTTTTTTCTGTAAATTAATATGGACATTCATGATCTTTTAGATCTTTATGTTCAAGGCAAAATTTCTTATTACAAAGTGTACAATTAAATGGTAAAAAATCTCTCCTTTTGCAATATTACAAATCACATCTTTCCATTTGATCATCTAAATTCATATAAGTTTATATTCTCTAAATTTTATACTATTTTTTATTATTTTACTAACTTATTTTTATATAATGTTAAAATTACCTTAATATCAAATACATAGATAAATACATTTAAGTATTAATTCATTTTTTATACAAAAGAAATTTTTATTAATTACAAATAATTTTAATCCTTGATATTTTAATTTCAATCACTTTTTATTTTCTATTAACATCTAGGATATAAAAATCAAAAGAAGTTTTTGTGAAATAGTTTGAATTCCTTGAAAATTAAATTGTAGTAGTAAATTAAGATTGTAGTTCTTATTGATTTCACTATATCAGAAAAAAAATGACTTAATTAATTACTAACCTAAAATTAATGTTTTTAGTCTTTGTATATCTTATTTTCATTAAATTTTAGTATGACTTATAGAATAATACTAAAATATATTTACAATAAAATTAAAGCAATTATTTTTAATTTTTTTAATAACTAGTTGCAATTTATTCGATTTCTTCTTAAATTTGAAAAATCTTTAGATAAATTTAGTTGTATTTAAAGTTAATTATTTTATAGAATTATACAATTGTTAAAAATAACAAGAAAAGGTTAAATCATCAGATTTTTTATCTTTTTTTAAATATTTTTGAATTTATTTTTTTCATCTTGTTAATTGGATTGTAAATTTGATTTATAATTATTATTTTGATGATGATTATCTTAATCATAATTTTTTTTGATAAGCTGTTTTAAAATTAATTATTTATTTAATGATTGACTAAGAGTTTCCACCAATTTAATAAAATCTTGGAAAAAATAAAAACTTATCTTGGAAGTCATTTAATGATTTCCCATTATTTGTTGAAGAAAGTTCTTAATTTCCAAAACAAGGAAAATTAGGTAATTGTTATTGGATAGCACCTTTGGTTTCAATATATGCAGCAAAGTATTTTCTATAAGAAATGATAGGCCATAATAAATAAAGTCACTTTTTGAATCTCATAATAATAATTATACAACAATAAGATTTTGCATTGATGGTGAATGGCAAAAAATTACAGTAGATCATCACTTTCCTTTCAATGATGAGAAACAAAAAGTGGTTTACTGTAAATTAGTTGATGGAGCTATATGGGCTATGATATTAGAAAAGGCATGGGCAATACTATATGGTTCTTATAAGTAAATAAGTGCTGGATTCAATAGGTATCATTTTGGAAATATCTTGAATTTAGAACTACTTTTAAAGTATTAACAGGAGCTCCTACAAATAAGTTTCGAACAAAGGATCCAAATTTTAAGGAAATTTTATAATAGATAGGTACATTATGTTTTCCAGTTGGTGCAAATATAGTAAGATAAAATATTTGGAATAAACCATGCTTATTCAGTACTTAAAATTTAAGATGATTAAATAGTTGTTCATAATCCTTGGGGATCAAAGAAGGAGATTAACACATACTGACATTAGATGAATTTAAGAAAAGATTTGTAAGTATAGAGTGTTGTTATCATTTTGATGGATACTAATATAAAAGGTTTTAAAATAATTATGATTTAGGGGTATTATTTATACAGAAAATGAAAATAGAATTTAATTAAGTATATGAATGTGAGAAAGTTAAATCAGATATTTTGGAACCTGTTTATTTTGAGATTTAAATAAAGGTACCAGGAAATTATTTTTTTTAGAATAAAGTAAAAATTAAAGATGGTTTCGTAATAAACGAGATCTGAAATATGTAATATCTCCTTGTTATATTGAAATGATTTGTGGTGATACTTTTATGAATTAATAGTATCATAAATGTATTAAGAATTATGGATTAACTGTAATTTTAATAGACCCTGTAAGATTTATATTATTTGTAAAGTGGAATGGTAGAATATCGCAGTGAATGAATTTATTTTTAATACTTATGGACCAGAATTTTGTCAGAAAAGAGTTATGGAAATGATAATGAGTAATGAAGATTTGAATAATATTGGATAGATACATTTTATATAAAGAGACTCAGAATTGGAGTAATAAAATAAGGAGTAGTAAATATAGAGTAAAAATTTAAATGTTGGTTAAGAAGATTAAGAATAAATAATTTAAACTTTAACTCAATAGAAAGAGCATAAAAGTTATGGATATTGTTCAATATATTGATAAATATAATTTTATTATTAAAATGTCAGTTATGAGTTAGAATAACGATCCTTTAATGAAATAGAGGGACAACAATCGTCAATAAATCACATCTTTAAGTAAGATTAGATAGTTTCATACTTTAGATCAATTGTCGAATTTGTATGGAAAGTCTAAGCCTGGTGAATTGGCATAATCACTAGTTTATGGTGATAAACCAAAAAAAGAGAACAATCGTCCATCAAAATAAATGTAAACAACTGTATCTGAGAAACCTAACTAATGGTAAACTAGAACAGTAGCTGTGTCTCCTTCTAAATTTACAGTGCTTTCTTAATAACTTTATAATCATATTCCAGATACATTAGAAGCATAGAAATCATAAAGAGCCTTTCATATTAAAGATTAGAAACTGCTATTGTCTCCTGAGAGGTTACATTCATTACCTAATTAAAATGGAGATAAGACTCCTGAAGTCTGCAATAGACTTATAGAATATAAAACATTTGTAAGTGATAAGAAACAAACACTTAAAGAATAATTAGATGCTGAATATTTGAGTTAATGCAGCTTTTAACCATAAATAGATGAGAAGAGTAGAAAAATGGCTATAAAGGCTACTAATCAAGAAGTTCGTTCGGCTGATGAATTTCATGAATAATAAATGAGACATCTCTAAAAAGTCAATGAAAAGAGAGAAGTACTCTAAAAACAATAAGAAGAAGATGAAAAGGCTGAATTATCTAGTCCTAAATTAACAGTTAAAACTTAGAAATTAACACTCAAATATTGTGAATAGCCTTTAGTAGAGAGATTACATGAAGCTAAATCTAAAACTTAAACCTTAACGGATTCTACTCTCAATCATTCATTTAAACCTTAGATATCCAAGAAATCAAAGGAAATTAAAAGAGAAGAATCAGTTTAAGATTTTTTATATAATGATGCTAAAAATAGATTAGAATAAAAGAAATAAACTGAAACCATGATTCCATAATCTGTAATATCTCCAACTGATAAAAGTTAATCTTGGTTTGTTTAAAGATTTATCAAGGAATTCTATTATTAATTGAGTGGATTAGATAGAGTATAAGAGACAAAAGATTATTCAAAGATCTATTAAGAAGATTTTTAGAAAATATTAGAAGGTTTGGGATTTGGATAATGTGATATGTTATGGAATGAATTGAATAATGGATTTTATGTATTATCAAGAAATCTATTGGTTATATTATTAGCCATTTAAGCAGTACCATAACACTTAATAGAGATTCCATTATATAAACCTAAGGTTGAAGAAAATATATAAGTGAAATCAAAATATTAATGTGATGAGAATGGAAACTTAATATTGAGTGTTAGTGATTGTTAAGAATTGCATAGGATGTTTTATAAATTGTATTTGAATACAAAATAACAGAATGGGAATGGAGTAAGAAGAAGAATGGCTCGTTCTCCATAACCTGAGATTAGATGTGGATCACCAAAAATATCAGATAGAACAAAATAATTAGCTGAGGTTAAAAGATAAGATTCAAATTTATTTGATTGGTTTAGCTAATAGGAAGAGAAGAAGAAATAGAGTTTAGAAGATTTAAAGAAATAAGTAGAAGAAGAAAGAATGAAAGAATGTAAATCAATTTAAAGAGAAATTACAATAGACTTAAATCAATTAGCTAAACCTCTTTAAAAATAAGAAGATCGAACAACTGTAGATGTTGAATTTGACAATTAATAATAGCATTGCACTTTTTAACCATAAATTAGTAAACCTGCTTAAAAGACTCAAGCAAGTAATTATGCTGTTTAAGAAATGGAGAAATAAGCAGCTAGAATGAAGGAAGCAAGGTTAAGATAAAAAACTCTAAGTAATTTAAAAAACAAAGGAACTACTACTAATAATACTAGCAGAAGAAAGGAAAAATGTGTTACTGAAAATGAACTCAATAATGAACCAAAATAAAAGAAAAGTAAAAGTAGACCAATCAGTGATAAAAGCACTCCTATGTTATATGTAGATGTCAAAATTGAAGATGGTAAAAGTGCAAGGATAGTAGTGTTTGAAGGAGATACTTCTGTCAGTTTAGCTAATAAATTCGCTAAAGAACATAGTAATTATAATTTCTATATTTTATTAGAATTGGATGAAACTATGAAAGAAAAACTTAAGGACTTACTTGATTAATAAATTAATTCCTATTTAATGAAGATTGAAGAAGAATAAGAGTAAGAAGATGATTGATATATATATACTAAACATATTCATTATATTTATTAAAATGTGTGACTAATTTATATATAATGACAAGTTCATAATTTGATAACATCTAAAATTTCATCATTTTACAGTAATGTTTAATTAATAAATAGATCCCATTATTGAATATTAAGTTGAAAGTTATCATTCAATATAATTAGTTAGAAATCAATTAGATATTATAATTCCTACTATTTCAATATAAGAAAAGAAATAAATAATTATTTCTAATGTATAACAACTAGAAAAAGAGTAAACGTATATTAATAATACTCAAAATATTGAAAGTCAATAACTTGAAGAAGAATAAATGTTATGTACATCTTATATATTAAGTTGGAAAAAGAAATCTATTAAGAAATTAAAAAGAATCACATTAAATATGACTGATAGTGTTCTTTCATAAAAATAACCTCCCCACCATATCCTTAATATACTTTTAGAATATTCTTTCAAAATTCTAAGAATATAAAAATTAATAACTCCTACTTAATCTTAATATAAAAGGGTAAACTTTTATAGATTTTAGAGGTGCTGGTTATGCTATTTAATTTGTGGATCTCAATCATAATAATATTCATAATAGCAATATTGGTTATAAATAAATTTCAACACAGACATCCCTGAAGAATATTATATGAATTAAAAGCTTAGAATAGATGTTGGAAAGTGTATGCAAATCAATGATACTTATGAATTATGTAAATTGTATTTTGATTAAAACATTTTCAAATACATCTGTTTAATATCGAATAATAGATAATGTATTAGAATTTAAATACATTTTTCTATTTCATAATTGTGTATGAGAGAAATAAACAAAACTAGATTAAATCATATTGTTGATTCTGTCACATTTGGTCATATCTGTAAAGATGTTTGAATCGAGGAATTTCAAGATTATTCATACATATTTAAATAAATAAACAAGAACTTTTAAAATCATTATTAACTTGAAGAATTTTTAACTTTTCTCTCTAATCTTTTATCAAAATAATAGTGTTGAAGGTCTAATTTCACTATCTGATGGAATGAAAAGATATAAATTGGACTTTATTAATGGGATAAAAGAGTAGAAGATCATTTAAAGTTTAGAAATATTAAGTGAAACGTCATAAACTTTATTAAGAACCTAAGGTTTCATTTTTGAATCTAAACAATTAATTAAAATTAAAATAATTTGGTTCCTTAGTAGTAGATTAATGAGTATTTAAACAGTTTAGATTTTGATATATATTGGAATTCAAACTTTGTTGATATCATTATCTAATTTCATAACCTAATATACTAAATTCATAAAAAATTCAACAAAAAGGATAGGGGATATCTATAATTAATTAATTAAATAGATTCACTTAAACCTAAAAATCAGCTAAATAATTATCAAAATTAATCTAATAAATTTAAAAGAAGGAATTCAATATTCTTAGATTCTATTTCATAAAATTAAAACTAAAATTAATGAATCAATAAACCTAAAACCTTCAATTATAATATTGCAAACTAGAGTAATCAGAATAAATAAATGATATATATAATAAAATATAATTTCTATTTAATTATCTACATCAATCTAGTATGTTCAGAAATGAAATTGAATTGCTAAAAAAATACCAATATATATAATGAATCATATTTCTTATCCACTCGAAGCAACATTAAGTATTTAAAATAAAGCTGAGCCTACAACAACAAACAAAAAGACTCCAAGAAGGATTGGTCCTACTGGTAGGTTTTCTTCTTTTTTCTATGTAGATATAAGGAAAATCTAATACAATCAATGATTTTGGCACTTTTCCTTATTTTTTAATATTGCCTTAGTAGTTTTGACTTCTCAATTTCATGGTTTAGGCTGATGGCTAAATTGTCTTAACATTATAATCATACCATGTTTTTTGATGATCTTTTTGGGAAGTATTTTAATTAATGAAATCACACGTATTATTATTATATGCTAAATAAAGCATTAACTTATTGTCTTTAAGATGATGACCCAGTCTAAATTTCTGAATTAATTGGTGTTCCAGAGTATCAGAAATAACCAAAATTATGTCAAAGCACCTTTGTGACCTCTTCTGATTTAAAACAAATGATAATAAACCAAAAACGAGAGAACAGTGTTCAATCCTATCGTAAAATGTAACATTAAGATGCTGACTTAAAACCAATAAATCGAACATTTGATTGTAGATTACCAATAAATCAAAATATGTGTAGAAAATACATGAATGTCAAGTTGATTCAAGAACCTGCTAAACCTAAACTATACTTTGGAATTAAGCATTAATAATTTAAAGTAAAATATTTCTTTTTACATTCTTAGATAAAAATCAGAATGTAAAGCAAACGTTTAGAGGACATGTTCTGAATAAAATAACTTTGACTAATTAATTTATTAATTTTTTATTTGCTCATGAATTTTAACAGATAGGAATTACTTAATTTGTAAAATAGAATATATAATCGTCCTAAGAGATTAAATTCTGTATTTGTAGCACCTACATTTGATGATATTGGAATCTTGGCTGAATTACCAAACAATAAAGTCTCAAATTTAGGATTTAAATAATAAAGTGCATTAAGAACTTAACTCAAAAAATATCGAAATTTATTTCTATACGACAAGAAGTTATTTAGAAACAAAAAATAATCAAGAGAATTCTAAGAAAATATTGAAAACAAAGCATCCATACATTATAATAATAGTTCTAAGCAATCTTCATTACCACTTTGGGAAGATGAAATGAAAATCACTAAATTAAGTATTATGAAATCAGAAATCTTAAGAAATAAAGTATCAGAACTCTCAAAACATGTTAATAATTCCTTAACTAATGGTCTTAGAAGATTGTCTAACATTCATCCAGAACCAATCCAATTCAAAAATATAGTAGTATTACCTTCTATTAGAGGTTGGGACTATAATAACCAAAACTCATAAAGATCAAACTGATATATTTCTATTTATTAATTATTTTATGTAAAATAATATTACATTATCTGTGGACTATAAAATTTCAATCCCTATTAATCATGAAAAATAACGTTTAGTTAGTACCTTATTGACAAATGAAGAAATCATTATCTAAATTTATTAATCAATTGATCAAGATAAAGGAAAATTTAATTCATAATTTACCATTATCAATCTAAAATAAAGACATACTAATTAATATCTGTAACTATCTCTTTATATTAATTAATAGATTTGAAGATGAAGTTTTTCAAATTAAGATTATTGATGAATAATATTTATCATTTTTAGCATATGAAAAAGATTATTTAATGTTTCTAAATTATTAAAATGGAGAATTTAGTAATAAATATAAAGGTTGCATTTGTTAACTTCTTTTTCATCCTTAAGTCGATTTATAATTTAAAGAATATAGAGATTTATATTTTAATTAGGCACTTTTATATTCTATCAATAAAAATTCAGTTATTGCTCTATTATGTGATTTTCGAGTAACCAATAAGAAGGAAGTGTTAGTAACAATTTTGAAGGATAACCAAATTCTTTAAATACACAGTTATTTTAGAGAAAATGGAAGACTTGGCAAAATGATGCTGTTTAGTGTAATAAAATAATTAAATTCTAGTTAGATTAAGACTTTATAGCAGCTAATTCAATTGTAGAAGCATAAAAGTTAAATTTTATAATTTTTAATGAAGAAAGTTTAAAGGAATATTAAATAAATTTATAAATAAACGAAGATACAAGTGTTGTTAAGATTTTCTATAAAAAAGATAATGTAATAGAATATATTATAATTAATTTCTGTAGATTATATTTTTACTGAATGAAAACAATTTCGGAAACCCTTGGGTTGTAATTGTTGATTCAAATACTTTCCTTTTAAAAAAATGTATTGAATTGAGTTTAAGTATCGATAATAACAAATTTGCAGTCATATTAGATGTAAAAAGATGTTAATAATTATTGTAACATAGGCATTTTTATTGAATTGCTAGTAGTTATTTATTTATTTTGAAATGAATATTGAAGGAATGTACAATGAATAGTTTTTATAAGCTGTTGATTTCACAGAAGATTTTTAGAAATTTATAATAAAGGATTATGTTCGATATCCAGAAACCTCTGTATCAAATATAGTTGCCTCTGATTGTGGTTTTGTTACTGTTCCAAGAGCAGCAGAGATTGGAACAATATAAAATAATTATTTAGAGTTTGATGTCTCTCCTATATCGATAAAAAAAGGAGATACACTTGAACAAAAGATCTTAAAATTAAATTAAGAAGCTAATATGGTATATTATAATAGATTACCAAATATTTTATATTATGCCTATCATTTTATGTATAAAATTGGTTTGTTTACATATGAAATTGAGAATGATTTTTAGTATTTAGCAGAGGAAATTATAAAGAAAATTTAATCATAAAAAATGATGAATAAAATTTAAATAGAATGATCATAAAATTTGTCAAAATGAAAAGAATGATAATAATTAATAAATTTATATTTGGTCTCATTAGTCTTCTTGTAAAAATCCTGCATCTCTTTTTGGGAAAGAATTGCATGAATCAACATGAATTTCACTAATTATTACATAAATAAATACAATCCATTTCTACAATTCCATACATCATGCAATTTTTCATCTTTAATGCACCAGTGTTTCTAGCAGCATTATGATTTATGTAATCCAGCACAAACATGACCATCTGATTTTTTGCAATCTTTATGACATGAATCATTCTCAGCAGTTGATCTAACCCATTTCTTATCATTGCTTGTGATTGGAGGAGCCATTGTTGCTGATATTATACCAATCAATAGAAGAACTAATAATAATCTCATTTCCGTTTTTATATATATATTATTAACTTAATTTACTTTATAAAATAGAAAACCTATTCATTCTGTGACTTTGTTTAACAATCTTTTTTCATATTACAATAAATCATTTCTTTTATTTATCGTAATAATTAAACAAGAGTCTATTTTAGATAAAATACTTTTAATGATTCAAGTAGATTGTATGAAATTTAAATAAAAATAAATTGAAAAAATATTTATTATTTATTCATTAGAATATTTGCTTATTTTCAAATTGATCAAAAAAGAAAAATTATCTTTGTAAAAAAAATTTAAAAACAAAAATTGAATTTTAGAGTTATATATTTTGGTCTAATTTTTTAGATTCAATTCATAAAATTAGTAAGAATGAGTAAAGATTGATGCAAATTAAAAATTTGATTTTTTTATTGAGCGATCCAAATACTTTGGAATCACCAGATACATACTTGAAGACAATTTTTCTTTGTTTTAGAATGAGAATTTTATGATTTTAAAAAAGGAAATATTTTTTAAAAATTTTAATTTTATTCTCTAAGACATAAGTTGAGAATAAATATGAAACAATAAGCTATATATTATACAGACTTTAAGTTATTAGTGTTGAAAGAAATTAAAGAGATAGATAATTTGATGTATTTTTGGAGATATATTGGTGATTTTGTTTTGAGACAATACTTGATTTAAATTTAGTTTCTTGAGTAAATTAGAAAGAGAATATAAAATAATAAAAATAGCTTATTCTTCAACACTCTCTCTAGGGCATTGGGAAAATAAATTTTATTAAAATAAATAAAAGAATTAGGTAATTATAAATTGTTATGATGAAATAAGATTGATCAAGAATTAGATATTTTAAATAGTTAGTACTTATTATTGTAAAAAGAGATGCAAATATAAATAGTTGATATATATAATAATTATTTATACTGTAAAATAATGATTTAATAAGAATTAAATATGATTAATATATGTATGTTTTGGTATAAAATTATCTTTAGTTGAGATGAAGGATAAGAAAATAGATAGAAATGAGTAAAATAGTTAGAAAATAAAATATGATAATAAGAGTATAAGAAATAAAAGGTTTAAAAAGAAGGAAATGAATATGATGAAATGATACTATATTTTAGATAGTAAAATGTTACAAAAATCACATTTTTTAAATTGATAATTAATTAATATATTTATAAGACAATAAAGATTAAAAAGATGGGTACTTGTGGTGGGATATGTGGGTAGAGTAATCCTGAGAATACAATAGTAAAGATTTAATAAGTAAATATGGGTGATGTTGATAATTAAATTGAATTGGGATTATAGATGGGTGAAGAAGGTGTTGCAATAAGAAATGAAAAAAGAGTAGAAGAGATATTAAATAATTAACAAAATTAAAGTAATGAAAATTAGGGATATGAATCATAAAAGAGACATTCTTAAAAATTTGAAGAAATTAAAACTTAAATTTTATAGGAGTCAGTTCTAGAGAAATGTTAACCAGTTACATTAGAATCAGGAGCAATATATACAGGATAATGGGAATAAGAGTAGAGACATGGATGGGGAAAATAAGTTTGGCCAGATTAATCAGTATATGAAGGTGAATGGGTAAATGATAAGGCTTGTGGTAAAGGTAAATTGATTCATGCAGATGGAGATGTATATGAAGGAGAATGGGTAAATGATAAAGCTAATGGATTGGGTAGATATTATCATAGTAATGGTGCAACATATGAAGGAGAATGGAAAGATGATAAATAAAATGGTTATGGAGAAGAATAATGGCCAGATGGATCTAAATATAAAGGATAATATGAAGATGGTAAAAAACATGGTTAAGGTTTATTATAATTTGTTGATGGGTCATTTTATAATGGAGAATTCAATTATAACGATATACATGGAAAAGGTAATATGCATATATATATATAAAGGTCGATATGTTTGGGCAGATAAAAGAGAATATGAAGGATAATGGAATAATAATAAAATGCATGGACTTGGAATTACTAAATGGCCAGATGGTAAAATATATGATGGAGAGTAATATATTATAAATTATTATTATTATCATTAGATATTTAAATGATAAAAAAGATGGATTTGGTACCTTTATTTGGCCTGATGGAAGAAAATACGTTGGATAATGGTTAGATGGTAAATAACATGGAAGAGGAACTTTTACTAAAGCAAGTGGAGAAAGTCGTTAAGGTGAATGGGTTGATGGGAAAAGAATTAGATGGATGGAATTAGAGGAATAATAAACAAATTGAAAATTCTCTCAAATTTATATATATTAAATTTATTACATTTCACTAATATTTATACTACAATTTTATAAACAAAAAAAATATGTTCTAAGCAAATCTTAATCCATCAATTTAAGCTGAATAAATTGATATATTTCGTAATTAGCCAACTCTAAAATGCCAAAATGATCAAAATTATCAAAATGATTAGTATTTCTTATTTTTATTAATAATACCCATCTTAGAAATGAAATTTAGAGTGTTAAGGCAAATAAGAAAGAACCAATTTTTTTCCAAGAGCCTAAAAGAGAAGAGAAAAATTGTTTATTAAATCAAATTGTAGTTAAATAGATAGAATCTAAACAATTAGCCAAATCGTAAACTCGATCTTTATTAGATATTATTTAGAATTCATGCATCTCATTAACTAGGTGGAGTTTTTTTATTCATAGTAACCTCAATCAAACTACTAGGATTAAACAATTTAACTCCTACTGCTCTTACAATTGCTATCTTAATCGTTATAAGTTCTCTATTATGGATTGTAAGTGTTACTATTGGAACAATTGGTATTAGAAGACAAAAATATAACCCACTTATTTTCTATTTTTTGGGAATTATTGTTTCATTTATTATTGAATTTTCGAGCACAATCGTTATTTTAGCAACAAATCACATTGCTGATCATTAATTAGGGATTTATAATAAAAATGTTATAATTAGGTTTATTTCAATTTCAAATATCATATAGGATGATTGTTTTTATGACACTAGAATTAATGGTCCTTCTATTTTAAATCATGATGCTTCGATCAGTAAGTTAAATTAGATAATTATTTATTGATATTGAAAGATTACAAATAGAAAATCAAAGTCATCATTAAATTGAAATTGAGAAGATGTTATGATAATTATCATTATTCTTATATTTACAATTCAAATTAAATCAATATTCATTTTATTTTCTTTTTTTTTCATCATTTTAATTAAAAAATTTATAGTTTTAATTTATGGGTAAAAAAATTAAAAAGGGAAAGGAAGGACCAGTTAAAGAATATGTATCTAGAACTAAAGCTCTCAAAAAACTATAAGTCAATCTAAAGGATTTCAGAAGACTTTGCATCTTAAAAGGAATTTACCCAAGAGAACCACCTTAAAAATTAAGAAAATAACATAAAACATATTATCATAATAAAGATGTTGCTTTTCTTAAAAATGAGTCTATACTAGATACATTTAGACAAAGATAAGCTCATTTAAAAAAAATAAGAAAAGCATTAACTAGAGGTGATAAATTAAAAGCTGGTAGATTAAGAAGAAATTAACCAAAAGATAAATTAGATCATTTGGTTAAAGAAAGATATCCAACATTTATTGATGCATTAAATGATCTTGATGATCCATTATGTTTAATAAGTCTTTTTGCATCATTCCCTACACATAAAGAACTTCATATACCTAATACATTAATTAGAAACTGCTAAAAATTGATCAGTCAATTTTAATTATATGTAGCAGCTCACAATTGTTTAAGAAAAGTAACAATAAATACTTATATTTTAGGTATTCCTTTCTATAAAGGGTATTTATTATTAAGCTGTAATCTAAGGAGCAAATATTACATGGATTATGCCATATCCTATTTAAGCTTCATTACCTTTAGATGTAGATTATAAAATTATGATGACATTTCTTGAGTTTTATTAAGTTTTGATTAAATTTGTTGACTTTAAACTTCTTGGTTAAGAAATTGATATTATTGATTTTAGTGATGAAGTTAAAAAATTAAAATCAAATACTTCAAATGATTAGTATATTTATTTAATATTTTTAGAATCGAAATTGATGAAGCTTTTAAAGAAGATCCAACAATGTAATAATTAGATTAGTAATAATAAGAAACTAAAAAATATTCTCAATTATTTAAAGGATTAAAGTTTTTCTTATATCCAGAAGTACCTAAAGCATCATTAGAATTTGTAATATTGAGTTTTGGAGGAGAAGTTATGTGGGAAAATGACAATAAAAATTCATAATTGACTGATCCAAAAATAACTCATATTATTACTGAAAGATAAGTTCAAAAAAATAAAAAAAGGGAATATATCTAACCATAATGGATTTATGATTCCATTAATTAATTAAAATTATTGAGTGTAGCTGAATATGCACCAGAATCAGTATTTTATTTTGTAAACATTATAGACTCTTCCTCCACATTTAAGTCCATTTGAATAACTAAACTTAGAAGAAGTTCAATCAGAAAGTGAAGAGGATGATTAATAATAGAAAGAACATAAACCTTATTAAAATAATAAAAAGTTGAAAGAAAGACAGGCTAAATAATAAGAAAAAGAAACTAAGAAATTAGCTGAAACTATGTTAAATAGAAAGAATAAGAGATTATATGATATGATTAAGAAGAAAGAAGACGAAGAAAAATTAAAGAAGAATAAACTTTAAGAAAAGAAGAAAATGATACAAAGTAAATAATAATGAATTATAAATATTTAATGTTTATAAAGTTTTAAATTTATTTTTTTATTCTTATTTAAGATTCAAATAACAATAATTAAATAAATCTATCAAAATCATTGTCACAAATATCAAAAATATCGATCCATTTTTCGTTTCTTCACTAAATTAGTTCAATAAAATTTGATAATTAATTTAATATTTAAAATATAATTCAAAAATCTCATTAATTTATATTATTAATGATTTTTTTAAAACATAAAGAATTAATAGAGAAAAATTTACTAATATTTATAAATTGGTTTATAAGAAAATCTTTAAATAAATGTTAGAAAACAATTAATATAAAATCACAAAAGACTATATTATAATTACAAATTATAAAATTTTTAAGAAGAACAAAAAAGATGTAGGTTTGATGAGGATTAATTAAATTTTTCAATTTATAATTAAATGAAAAATTTTCAAATTATTTAGAATAAAAAAAAACTTAGATCAGTTCACAAACTGAAATTGGATTTTAGTTTTTACATTTAAGTAATTATGATTGTATTTCATTCTAAAAGCTTTAAATGAGTTAAGAAAATAAAAAATTATTTTAATTTATATAAAAAAAATTTTAAATCCAATTATAGACCATATGGACTTAGAATTAATGTTTTGGGAAAAATATCTTGATAATCAAAATGAAGTAACTTGGGATGAATTTTGTTTTTATTTTACATAGTTTATAAAATTACAAGAAGAAATAGAGATGGATTAAGATTAATTGTTATTCATAAAATCTAAAATAGATCCAGATTATAGAAATATCATAAGGAGAGCCGATTATGTAATATTTTTAGAGACAGTATTACAATCTTATATTCGTCTTAGTATTGGAAATCTTAAAAGGAGAAATAAAACTTATTGTAACACTAATTTTAATTAAAAACATTTCCAATACCAAAATAAACATTAAGACATGTTAATTTAAAAGTACTTTATATAGCAGATGGTTGTCCTACTTAATTTAAAGATATTTAAATAACAAGAACTACTTAGAATAATATACCTTTGAAATAGGAAGAACTTTTTACTTTGGGTTATGCAAAAGAATGCGATTTATAAATAAATAACGATAGATAGGTAAATCCTATTCACGTAAAGATAATATGGACTCCATATAATGTTTATTTGATTAAAGATCATGCAAGATCATTTAGAGCTTGTTAACGTATACATTAACAACTAATTCTTGATGCTTTGATGATTATTAAGTTAAATCAAGATGCTTATTTTAAAATTAAATTTATTTAACCTATGCCTAAGATCCTTAGTCAAATTTCTACATATGAAGATAATAGGGATATCCCTATAACAGATTTAGTTAAATCTCTATAATTATATAAATCAGTCCAGGATTATAGAGATAAATAAAAATAGTCGAATTTTAATGATGATACACCTTTTCTTATAATAGAATTCATTGAAGGAGTTCTAAAAGGAAAGGAATTTCTTCTAAAAGCTGATTAGGAATATATGTTAGGATAAGGAAAGAATTGTTCTATAATTATTCCTGATCAAAGTTTATAAAGGGAGCATTGTAAAATATTCTTTAAAAATAATTAATGGCTAATCTAACCAAAAGAATCTTAATATTTAGATCCTACTTTATTTGGAACTTTTGCATTATTAGCTAATTCATATCAATATGATCACTATATGCCAAGCAAATGCCAAGTATTACATGATGGAATGAGAATAGTAGTAGGACCTATTCTTTTTCTAGTTCAATATTTCAGTTGATATAATTTATTTTGACTTTTGGATAATTATATAAATATTAAATATAAATGATAATCTGTAGATCATATTCAAACATATAAACTCAAATTTAGTAAAAATTCTTCTTTTGGATCAGAGAAAGGTTTCAAAATAGATAAAGTAGTTAAAAGTAGAGTATTAGAAAAAATATAGTTTTTCTATATGTTTGGAAAATAATTTCAATAATGAATAGATTGTAAAATAAGATAATAATTTCATAATCATTGAAAATTAGAAGAAATATATATATATGATCAGCCTTGATTAATTGCACAACTTTTTAATTTTGTGTATTTTATATTATAAATATTATAAATTTATTAAGAATTTAATAGTGCTATTTATTTAATTAGGGTTTAAATATTTTTCGGAACAAAGAATTCTAAGTATTAATTAATTTAAATATACTAGAAAAAGAATAGTTAAAAATGCCAAACAATTCAATAAATGGTATCAGCTAATCAAAAAAATCAGTTTAATTCAGTGAATAACACATAGTTCACATTGTTGAAAATTGGAAGGAATTTAATTATACTCCAAAGGAGATCAAAGTTAATCGATAATTGAAAGTGGAAAAAATAATTATTAGAACTGATTTTGAAAATTACTTGTTGGAAAAATACAAGAAATTAAAATCGGCTTTAAAAGATTTAACTAATTCATGCTCATTTATATGAAAATTTTTTGACTTTTTATTTGTGTATTGTAGTACTATTTTTATAATAATTCAAAATAAAATATAATTCTTCAGTTCTGAAAACTTTTTGAAAATTTTTAAGAATTCAAACTAAGTTATTAACAAGATTATCTTGTCATAAAGTCTTAAATAGCTTAACTTATAGATCCAGTTACTTTAGGAGGCACAAATAACAAAGGTTCTTGTTGATTAAATATTTTTGTGTTGCTATTCATAACATCAGAGCAAGCCATTTTAATTGGAGGATCATCATAATTAAAAGATGAGGAATTTTTATGATGAGTAGTGGTAATCTATAAATCGGTAGTTTTCTTTTTAATATTACTTTGAATAAATTAAATATCTTTAAGAAAATCTGTATGATGAAAGATTTTAGCTTAAGGTTTACTTTAATTATTTAGATTAACTTATTATCTACTACATAATTGTAAATGTTATTAATTATAAACGAAATAGAAAATGGCATTTTTATTAGTAAATTATCTTGAAGGACTAATATAAATGGAACAATCTAATTTGTATTTCTGACTAAAATTAAAGATAGGATTGAATGTTCTGGAATATATCAATTATGTTTTCAATTCACCATATAAATTTTCAATATAGTTTTAATCATAATGAGTAAAAGAATTAGCTTAAATTTCAACTAATTCTGAGTCAAAAGAAATAGGATTAAATTAGATAAAATTTCTACTAAAAAGCATTTAAATAGAGTGTGATTTCATTTGTGAAAGAATAGTTTTACAAGTCAAATGATTGAAACTAATCAAATGATTTTATAAGTTAGGTAATTCAAATATTCTAGGAGTTAACTATGAAATAGGTTTAGTGATAGTAAAATAACCATCTTCTGAATAGGTTCCAACCATAAATTGTAACTAAATTTTTTTGTCATCTTAATAAGAATCTGATATCATGTAAGCAAATGATAGTTTAATTTGTTTTATTTAAGATTTGATTAATGGTTTAATTGATCTGTATATGATATCAGTCGGTATATATGAACATATATACTTTAATTATGAATTAAGAATAGCTGCTTCAGACTACAATTCTATGTTAGAAAAGTGTAATTAAGTAAATAAAAGATGATTTTCTCTAATTTAGGTTTGGAATTGAGTAAAGAAATCACTGTCTAATTAGGCAAAAAAAGCAGGAGAATCAGTTTTATTAAAATCATTGAAGAACTGATTCTCTGGCATTTCTGAAAATTACATTTCTAAAATGATTATGTACACATACTTTGATAATCACAGATGATTAAGGGATGTGAGAAGATCTTAAGCAATCTAAGAAATTAGTTCACTTTTTATTTTCCATCAATAGTTAAATTCATTACTAATTAATTTGAGTGAGTATAAAAATTTATAGTATTTAATTTTAAATTTCAAAATGAATTACATTATAGGAATGTCAGTCACATAAAAACATTAAATATCAATCTAAGAAAATCTAGCTTATGCAGCAGGTTCAATAGTAGTATATTACTCATACAAAGAAAATTAATAAGAAAAATATTTGATTGGGAAAGCTTAAGTACATGCCATCCTTATATCAAGAGATGGTACTCATGTGTTTACAGGAGAGTAAGCAACTAAGAATCCTGCAGTTAATATATTTAAATTGACAGATGAACGAGAGATTAATATTAGTTAATAATTAAAAGGACATAAATTTGGAATTACCTAAATAGTAGAATCTCCTGTTAAACCTTATTTGGTGTCTTTAGGTTCTGAACCTGATAAAGGTTTATTTGTCTGGGATTGGACCTAGGGTATTAAATTAACAGTGAACAAATTATCAAAACCTGTTAATACAATAAGATTTAATGATAACGGAAGACTCTTGATAAGTGCTGGTTAAGGACATTTAAAATATTGGTAATTTAAAAATGATGGAAGTATTATTGCATATGATAATATGATGGATCCTAAACCATTCCAATTGAATGAACAGTTCATGTATAAAAACTTTATTGATATTCACGTTACTCAATATTCAGTTTTTGCATTAACATTTGATTCATTAATTACTGTATTTTCTTTACAAACTAAATAATTCGAAAAATGGATGGATCTTAAAGCTACTAATTCTTATTCCTTAACAAGTCATTCTAATTATCTTATCACAGGTTGTTCTGATGCAATAATAAGAATTTTTAATTTGAATATGTAACATATAGTAACACTTTCAAAACCTCCTAATCTTGGAAATTATAATATAGAGAAAGGAGTCACAAAACTCAAAGTTTAAGGTGATCAATTTGCAGATTGTTTAGCTGTCTAAATCTATTAAAATTATTTAGTTGCTGCATATAGTGATCGAACTATGTTTTTATGGGATATAGGTAATTTTGAAAAGATAGTAGTAAAACGCTCTTTTCTTAATCATAGTGCTAGCATCAATGACTTATAAATAATGACCTAATAATCATCAATTGAAGCTACATTCTTTGTTACAGCATCCTCTGATCAAACATTAAGAATATGGCATATTTATGAAGAATAACCTCTGGGTCTTAGAAGAAATGCTTATTGTAAGTATCTCTCAAAAATTATATATATTGGAGATCAATATCAACATTTCAAAGCAAATTAACAAGCATAGCTATAAATTAGATGTGTCAGAGTTTCCAAAGATGGAAATTATTTAGCATGTGGAGATTCAGCTGGAATTTTGAGAATATTCTCTACTTAAACTTTTACATTGTATAAGTAAATTTAAGCTCATGATCAAGATATCACTACTCTTGATTTCTCTGAATATATTGATTTACTTGCTACTGGATCAAGAGATCGTATTATTAATGTTTATGATGACCAATTCTAAAAAATTGGATCTCTTGAAGATCATACTAGTTCAGTTACTTGTGTTAAATTTAGTAAAAATAAACTTATAAGCTGTGGATTAGATAAGGCCATTATATTTAGAGAGTTTAATGGATAGAAATTTAAAATATATCATTAAGAATAAATCTCTAAAATATATTCGATGGATGTTAGTTTCAATAATTTGTATATTTGCTTAGAAAAAAAAATATCTATCTATGACATACCAACTGGTAAGTTGAAATAATCTTTTGAAACTGATGCTAATTCAAAAATTCTTCTTTATAGTAAGGATGATTAGAATTGTCTCCAAATTGCTACATATTCTGATAAGAATATCAAAATATATAATAATAAATTTGAATTAATCTAAAAATTCTAGCATGATCAATTAACATCAATGGGATTTGCTATGGATAATAAACATTTCATTACGGCTGGTCATGAAGGTTGTATAATTATTTGGAAATTAAATAAAGTATTTAAAAAAAAGTAATTGGGTCTAATAGGAAAGAAATTAAAGTAGGTTTTTGCTTAATAAGATTTAAAGAGCTCAAAAGAATGGACTATTAACAGTTTATGGATAGAAGATGAATTAAGAGGTTTCTTAAACAATAATAAATAATAGTAATAATAATAATAACAATACCAAAGTTAAAAATAAGAGGAAGAATAAGTAGAATTATTCAAATTTGAATCAGAAAACGAAATGGACCCAAAATCTTCTAAATAAGTAGAAAATGCACTTTCTCCATTGGGAAATTCTTAATTCAATTATAAAGATTAAAAATTTGATAAGGAAGACATAAAAACTATACAAAATCAATTATAAATAGTTTAAAATAACCTTAACAAAGTTAATGAAAAATAATAAATTAAATATTAGGTTCACAATAACTAAGAAACAATTTAAGAAGTTAATCAACTTGAAGAATAAAGCCAATTAAATTTCTTTTATGAAAAATCATAATATTAACAAACTTCAAGAAGTTAAAGTGTAGATAGTCAAGCATAAAAAAAAAGAACAAGAGATGAAATTAAATAAGATAAATTAAAACAATTAAATAAAAAGCATGAGATTTAATAATAAACTTTAGTAACTCAAGAAAGTTAAATAGATTAAACCCAAAGAGATACTATATAAATAGAAACAAAAAGGAATGAATAAGATACATAGATAATTAATAGCTAAATACATTCTAATCTTAATTCTTATACTGATTATTAAGCATTGTAAAATAAGTAGTTTATTCCAACAGAGTCAAGCTTATAAATTAATAATATTACTTAAACAAAAGATCATATTAAATAAATTATAGGTCCCATATCAAAAGATTCTATAAACTTGAATAGTTCGTATGCTTATGATTAATAATATTAACAATAAACAGTTGATCCTACACAATAATATGTAAAAATTTCAAATTATTTTAGATCTTTTAATAAACTAATTTAGCAAGATGTCACATTAGATAAATTTAAGTGGAATTATTAGATTTATCAAACTTATTAAATCAAATAAAAGATCAATAAGTTAAAGATACTGTATTGAGGGAAATAGATGATGATTTGAATAATTTATAAAAGTCTATATAATTAATCAGAAAATAAGAACAATAAGAACAATAAACTAATCGAATTATGGAGTAATCTTAAGCACAATTGAGTGAGGAAGACATAAGTAAAAAATTATTTTTAATAAATATTAGAAAAGATAGTGATTAATTGCAGTAAAGAAGTGTTTGAAAATTACTCAAAAGTCTTGTTAGAGTAAATCAAGGGAAAAAATAAATGAGTTTTTAATTAAAAGAATTTTCTTTCAATAACAAAATACTTTCAAAATTTTATTTAATACTTTGGCTTTAACAGGTTGTGGAGGGTATCTTTCTCCATCTATACTCAATGGACAATTAGTGATAGGTTCAAAAGTGTATTCTTTTACTTTTTCATATTTCCAATTGCCTTTTGGCTTTACATTGCCTTATTCATCAATCTCAACATGACTACCATCATATTATTTTAATGACAATTTAACTAATTATGACCAATCTCCTGCCTCAAGATATTATACATCAATAAAACCATCATCAATTTTAGCAGCAGGTCCTGATAAATAATTATCACTTATATAAGGTATCTTCTAAGCTAAAAAATACCTAAACATAATCTACTAATTATTGTATTTTGCTTCGTATTTTTTTTAAAATAAAGCTCTCCATGTACCATAAATATCAAATCTAGCTCCTCCCAAAAATCTTAGTGATTCAGATCCTAAATCTACTTCAGAAATGAAAGCATATGCCAAGGAAAGGAAAGAAACTACTTTCTTCTAAGGCATTTCTAATAAAATTAAATCCATTTATCTTGTAATTCCTTTTGCGATTAAAAGTGCACAACTCTCAGAATTACATTCTAATTATGATATTTTTGTCAATGTTTTTGCAAATGCATTCCCACTCCCACCAGGTAGGACTCCAATTGTTATTTATTATGATATCTTTTCCCAATCTTCTCTTGCATATAAAGCATTAATAGCTTCATGTGGTAACCCATCTCCTGATACAAGTACAACTCCATATATATTTGAGAGATCTTCTTTCAATAAATAATCATGACAATGATTTTAATATTATGTCATAATGATTTGATATTTTACATTGAATTTATCAAGAATTGGTTTTGCTTTGTTCCATTCTTTTAAAGCATGTCCTTTTCCACTAGCTGGATTGATGAAGACTAATAATTATTTTGGAATATCCATTTAATAAGTTAATAAAAATAATAGTCAATATTTCTCGACTAATTTATCATTTTCCCACATGCCTTATAATTTTTCATTTTTGTTGTAAAGAGTTCCAATCCCATTTTTTTGATTATTTTCAAAATTACCTACAAAATAAGAGCCAGCATCAAAATATTCAATACCAGCCCCATTTTTAAGTCCATTTTGGAATTATCCTTGATAAGATAACTTTCCATCTTAGTATAATTTTCCGAATCCATGATAAACATTGTTACGCCATTCACCTTCATATTCAAGTTCATTTGTAAAATATGAACCAAATCCCTCTTTTTAATTGCCATTTATTTAACCAACGTAACGATAATTTGATCCTCGAATAGTAATTGGAGTATCTGATCTAAGTCTTGATAATGATTGAGATGAAGAATTGAGATTTTAAGTTTTGGGTTAAATAAGTCTATAATCGAATTCCCTAAGCAATAATAGAGAAATTATAAAACCTTTTTGGATGCCTTTAAGGAGATTGTTATGTAGCATTTCTACCTGAATTTCTAATAGGGAATGTATTTTAGGGTAGTGATCGATCTTTGTGATATATATTAAAAAGTTACAATCAATATTGTTAGCAAAAGGAATGGCATTCATTGGAGATCAATAAAATTTATATGTATAAATATATACTATGAAATCAATTTTATTGATGAGTTTACATGCCAGCAATGTCTTTAATTTTTTTCATGATTTGAGGATCAGTATCATTGTCCCATTAAGCCAATTGTATTCTCTCTTACATTTTATCAAGAGTGTCCTTTAAAAATTTAATTTAAAGGTTATACTTTTAGCATTCTAGCAAATTCAGCTGACATTTCTTCAATTTTTCTTTTTAGTTCACTAATTTCATCATCCTTTTTTTTTAATCTATATTCATAATCCTTAACCATATCTTAGATATATTATTCTTTATTCTCTAAATAGTTGAATTTAAATATTTACTAATAATTTCTTCTTTTTCAACATCAGTAGATCTTAAATCAGTAATTTATTTTAGTAATTCTTCTTACATTTATTTATATTACCTAGTCATATCAGATCTAAATTAGATCATAAAATAATATAATACACAATGCAAAATAATTTATCTTTTTCTTTTTTAAGATCATTTTCCATTTCCATTACTCTAGCTCTGATTTCATTTTCAGCTGCTTTAGCTTTATCTCCTCTTTCTTATTCCTCAACTAGATTTAAATTATAAAATCTACCAAATCTTGTTTAGAGAGCTCTACATTTATGTTCTAATACCATAACTTTTTCCTCTTCTTCTCTCTCTCCATCATCACCTCCTTTTTTTTTATTTCCTTTTTTTGACATATTATTATTATTTATTAATATATCTCATATAATTTTTATTATAACTGCTTCATGATCAATTGAATAATATTCGTTTTATTATTTGTTATGCATTGTTAACCTAAATCTACTCAAATCATAAACTCCTTTATCAGTAAATACTACTTCTAAATTCAAAATTTTCATTTCTTAAGGTTTCAAAGTGATTTAATGTTTTAAGATTCCTTCCCATAAAAAAAATGGCTATTAAATGTCATTAATTGACCTTATTAATTATATTNGAAGAATTGAGATTTTAAGTTTTGGGTTAAATAAGTCTATAATCGAATTCCCTAAGCAATAATAGAGAAATTATAAAACCTTTTTGGATGCCTTTAAGGAGATTGTTATGTAGCATTTCTACCTGAATTTCTAATAGGGAATGTATTTTAGGGTAGTGATCGATCTTTGTGATATATATTAAAAAGTTACAATCAATATTGTTAGCAAAAGGAATGGCATTCATTGGAGATCAATAAAATTTATATGTATAAATATATACTATGAAATCAATTTTATTGATGAGTTTACATGCCAGCAATGTCTTTAATTTTTTTCATGATTTGAGGATCAGTATCATTGTCCCATTAAGCCAATTGTATTCTCTCTTACATTTTATCAAGAGTGTCCTTTAAAAATTTAATTTAAAGGTTATACTTTTAGCATTCTAGCAAATTCAGCTGACATTTCTTCAATTTTTCTTTTTAGTTCACTAATTTCATCATCCTTTTTTTTTAATCTATATTCATAATCCTTAACCATATCTTAGATATATTATTCTTTATTCTCTAAATAGTTGAATTTAAATATTTACTAATAATTTCTTCTTTTTCAACATCAGTAGATCTTAAATCAGTAATTTATTTTAGTAATTCTTCTTACATTTATTTATATTACCTAGTCATATCAGATCTAAATTAGATCATAAAATAATATAATACACAATGCAAAATAATTTATCTTTTTCTTTTTTAAGATCATTTTCCATTTCCATTACTCTAGCTCTGATTTCATTTTCAGCTGCTTTAGCTTTATCTCCTCTTTCTTATTCCTCAACTAGATTTAAATTATAAAATCTACCAAATCTTGTTTAGAGAGCTCTACATTTATGTTCTAATACCATAACTTTTTCCTCTTCTTCTCTCTCTCCATCATCACCTCCTTTTTTTTTATTTCCTTTTTTTGACATATTATTATTATTTATTAATATATCTCATATAATTTTTATTATAACTGCTTCATGATCAATTGAATAATATTCGTTTTATTATTTGTTATGCATTGTTAACCTAAATCTACTCAAATCATAAACTCCTTTATCAGTAAATACTACTTCTAAATTCAAAATTTTCATTTCTTAAGGTTTCAAAGTGATTTAATGTTTTAAGATTCCTTCCCATAAAAAAAATGGCTATTAAATGTCATTAATTGACCTTATTAATTATATTATTATACTTTAAAGGTTCATCTCCATTAAACAAAGTAACAGTAAAACTAATAGGTTCAATATACTTTGTATTTTTAAAACTTATCTTAATTGGAACCATTGTTATCATATTTTACTATTAAACTTCGAATGGAGCAGATATAGAAAAAGACATCGGAAATTCTTTTACATCTTTATGCAGATAATTTTATTATAAAACTGGCAATTCATGTAATCCATAAATTATTTCATCTTCATCTCTATATGTCCATCTTGCTATTACAAACAAAGGAAATTCTTCCATTCTCTAATTAGATAATCTCTAATAGAAAACATTGAAATAATGCTATATATCCAAATTTACAAAATCTAATGCAACATCTTCAGGAATCTCTTAATTACTTAAAATTATTTCATTAAAATTATCCCCTTCTCTATAAAATCTTTCTTTTAATCTATTTTGATATTCTTCAAATCTATAATCTTTAGTTTATATTTTTTTTAATTTAAATGTTGTCAATAGAAATGGATCTCCACTTGATTAATATGGAACATCAAAATATTTCCAATTCTCATTTAAACAAAGTATTCTATCAAATCTTAGATTACCCTTTCCTCCAAAATAATCTTAAACTTATAATGTAAATTTCCAATAGTCAACTATCAGATCTGTTTATAATGATATTTTGAAACTAGGATCCACTTTCATTGGAATCTCTAATTTTTATATTCGTATTCCACCACTCTATCCTTATTAATACTTAAATAATAATTATCCTACAAATTCTTCCTAAAAACTACATCTCAAATAAAATTAATATTCCAAGACTTAAAATGCACTTAGTATTATTTTCTTCTCTTCAAAACCAAAATGATATGGAATTATTGGAGTTATATGAATTACAATCTCTTCAGGATTCTTATTTGTAAATTTAAATAATATTGGTCTTATTTCACCATATGCTATCACCGGTTTTGTATAATACTCTATCTCTATTGGAATAAATTTAGGAAACACTCTAAATTTGTTGTAAAAATTTACACTCTTCTTTTTTGATTAATCTTTTGTATCATAATTAATTAATAATTATGCAGGAATATTTATAAAATTCCATTATAATCCTCTTATAATCAAGTATCCTGCTTATGGAGGTGTTATAGATACTTCAATATATTCTTAAACTGCTCTCTAAAAAGGAATATCTTTCACTTCTAAACTAGAGAGTTTTTTTAGTTCATATTCTTTCTCATTATTTGTATCCAAATCTAAAATATTCTCTTTTATTGTATAAAATTCATAAATTACTTATAAACCATTAATGTAACTAGGCACTTTCAAAGGTAAATTTATAAAAAACCTTAAAGTTAATGTATCTTCAGCAAAACATTATCTACCAAATTTATTAATCTTTTCTACAATATCTGAAATCTTTTCAAAATTTATTATACAGGGAATTTTATTGAAACATGCTATTCTTTCTTCCAAATAGAGGGAATCAAAACTTCGGATAGATGCATCTTCAAAAAAAGATTCATTTTTTGAAACTGTATTCCATAAATTCTTATATTTCTATTTAATATTAGTAAGAACTATAGAATCAAGTACATCTTAACCATGTGTTAATATATCTACAGGTCCTTTTACAATAGGAATTTTTAAACTAGCATTAGATTAAGTAAAATATTTATTTCTATAATCTTAAAGTTATTCAATTGAAGTATATGCTTTTTTCCAATCAACAACTAATTAATTATGTAATTCAATTGGCTATCTTTCATTTAATTAATTAAATGCCAATTTAAATGAATCAATAGCTTCTTAAATTCTTTGATTCTCTAAACAATTAACTCCTATATGTCCTTCCAACCAAAATAATAATGGAATCCATTTAGATTGTTAATATAATGATTCAACTATTTTAAAGCATCTTAATGCATGTTTTTTAAAATTCTCAGATTCATACTTATTAGCAACTAAAGTTAAATTATGTGCAAATTTTCTAAATTCTGGAGGATCTAATCTTAAATGAATAAATGCAATCTATTCAAAAACTAAAATTTAATAAACTACAAAATAATCCTTTTTTGTATTGCTTTCTAAATCTTTAAAATAGCGATGAAATCTAAAAAGAAAATAGATTTATTCTCTATTATATTTTCCAAACATATGAATTGTGATAATATAAAAAAACATAACTCTTAACATATATGGGAAATGAACAATTTTATGATAACCAACTTAGATTTCTTCAAATATATTCTTAATATTATCTATCTTCTACTATGCTAATAAACGTGAATATAAATAATATTCAGTGGCATTTAAAGTGGCAATTGTAGTATTAGTCTTATTATTTTTAAGTTCAGATATTAATGCTTTATAATAAGTAGCAGCACTTTCATAATCATTCATTAAATAATGATTATCTCCTAAAAATCTCAAGAGTTACTCTCTTTAAGTCATTTTATATTCAGTTTCATTTTATTATCCTGTTCTTGTATTAAAAATACTTGTCAAAAATGTGTCAAATGTTTTCTATTTCATTTCTAAATATTGTTGGGTCTAAATATTTATTTATTTTTCTAAAATCACTATGGTTTATTATAATATAACTTCCTCAATTACTTATCGATATATTTTAGTCCATTATTCATCTAAAATTCCTAAAGGATGTTTAGGTACTTCCCCATCATAATTATATCTTTAATATGCAAATCTAAACCAATGAGTTTGTTCTATTGAATTTGGTAGATTGTATTTTAAAGCGTAAGCTCGAAACTTACCAAATTCTTTGAAAATCAAATCCAAAGATTCATATTATACTACTTCTTAAGCATCATTTAATATTATTATGACTTTGCTTAACATTTCTAAATCGCTTAAATTATTTTTAAATATCATCTTTATTAAACTATTTGATTCATTTCTTATTCTATGAATTTCTTCTATTAAATTTCTCTCTTATCCACTTACTACATAAAATAATATAATTGGATGATCTAAAAAATTATAATGATATTAGTATCCCAAACAATCCCCTACTACTTATTACAATTATTAGAATCCAGCCATTTTATTTTATTCACAAATTTGATCTAACACTTGTTTACTACAATTTCTTGAGATTTAAACTTAATCCACAAATTAAGTATCCTCCAACAAATTACGTGAATATTTATCTAATTTCACATTGCCTATCGAAGCATATTCTCTTAAATCTAATAATTTTATATTAAGCTCTTTTTCCTTCTCTCTCAAACCTAATTTCAATCTTTACAATTTTCTAGGTAAAAATGGCCTCAAGAATTCAGCTGGAGTTATCTGATATCTACTAAGGAGAGCTGCCTGAATGAAATCAGAAGAAATGACCATACCCTTATATTAATGACATGCTTAATTAAAGAGTTCTAGTTATGTATTATTCATTTTTAATTAATTATGTTTTGTGCATCATTAGCTCTCTTTGGAACTATCTTCTTGGGTTTTCTTGGATACTTGATTCAAATTCAAATGCCATTTCTTAAGTTCAAAATGCATGATCGAGAAACAACTAAAGATGCTTTATATACTTCTAGCATCGTAAAATTAATTCTTTTATTTAGATCTATTTTGTGCTATTTCTTATTATTCTATTGTATGATTGCTGCAAAACCAAACCATATCCACATTATAAAGTTTATCAATAATGGAAATACGAAATACATGAATGATTATTAAAAATAATTATTTATTATGAGTGATTAATAACAACTTAAATAAGAAGTTCTAAGCAATGAAGTATATAAAACATGCTTTAAAATACTTCCTGTTAATGCAACTTAGGAAGAGTTCAAGAAATGTATGGGAAATTATATTCAATCTTACGAAATCATATAACAAGCATTCGAATAATTTTTCAAGAAACCTAAGTTTCCTTAATAATAATAATGAGTATATATCTATAAAAATTAAATATATTCAAATGTTAATTATCAAGCAGACTTATATTCTTTAAACAAATCAATCAAAGAACTAAAATTATATCTCACAACCTAATGTAATATTTATTCATCATTTTGACTATGTTTTTATTTTAATTTCATGATGCATTCTGACGAAAATTACATTTATTTCTTGATTTTATTAAGTAATAAAGTCTTCTTCAATGACTAACTTTATTCCTAAGAAATACCTATTGTTATTTCTTTTTTTTTGGATCCAATTGCTAAAATTTTACTTAAAACATTTCTCTTATAATGTTTTTCTTCTTTTAATATTATTTCTTTATTTTTTTTGTATTCTCTATTATATGAGCATATTTATTGCAACTTTCAACGGAATCATTAGATATAAATTAATCCGAATCAATGTGATTTAAATTTGTGCATCTACTACATATGCATTATTTACATTTAATAGGGCAACTCCAATCAGGTCTTAGTAAAATTTTAATTGGATTAATCTATTATATTTATAAATTATGTTCTAACCTTAAATTTAAACATAAGACAGTCAAAACAAAATCCATGTTTACAATCTGTAGATTTATAATTACTAAAACAATAATAACATGTTTTGCCATTCTTATTACAATAATGACAAAAACCTTGCTTTGTAATAGATTCAATCTAATCTCTAATTTATTATTCTGTTAAAATCTTCATGCTTGCTTTCTGATTTTCCATTTACTATTACACAATTTAATTTGATTACTACTTAACTACTTATTACTTCTATTATTTCAGTTCCTATTCTTTTGTTTTAGGCTGATTGCATTTAATTCTTTATTATTATTACTATTATTATTGTTGTTATTATTGATGTTATTATTGTTATTGTTATTATTATTATCCAATGTTATATTAATACATAGCAGGATTTTAAGGATTCATATAATAAAATTATGGAGCTTGTATTTATTGTTGAAATACATAATTTGGGGGTGGGTGTGGATACATGTATTATTAGGGATACATATAACCTTATTAATTGTACATAAAGTTATTTTAAGAATGCATTTATGATAATTAAATTATTAATATTTTATTTAAAATAATTAATTATTATCTATACTTTTTATTTACAAAAAATAAACAGATAAATTAATTAATAAATCAATATTATTCATCCTTTTTATTTTATATCAATTTTTCATGTTATCTTATGAAAATTGTGAACATATCATTTTAATTAACTTACCCTACATAATCTTTATCATCTATTTCTATTTCATCTTAATTAAAATTTAATTAATTTTATTAAATACTCTTCAAATCTATCAAATCATCACTATCTTTATTAGAATATTCTTCTTCCTCATATTCCTCTTATTATGAAGTATCTTCATCCAAACTATCATAATCATCATAATCAGTTCTTTGAGAATTCTCACTATCAAAACTCATCTCTGTTTCACTTTCAAATTATTATTTTTCAATCTGTCTCTCAATTTACTTAGTATCAATTTTCATTGTTATTTAAGATTATGCTTTCTCCTTTTCTAATTTTTAAATTATATAATAGTCCTCCTAAAAATCATTCTATCCACTCTCATCAACACTTGTTAATTGATTCTTATTCTATTCTAGTATTATAATTATCTTAACTATTTGTCAATAATTACTTTTTTTCTTTTTTAAGAAAACAATTTCTCCCGAAAGTCTTTTCTAAATTTTGTTACAAATCTTTCTCTTTTATATTATATTAAGCTTTTTTCAGCAGTCTCCATAAAATCATAATTTTCATCCTGATTTATATTTTATAATGATATTTTTTGTAAACCTACACTAAATTTTAGAGTTGACAATTTCTTACATTTTTTCATTCTTTACATTTAAAGAAAGATTTCCTACTAGTTCATCAATATTCAACCTTTTTTACTTACGAGAATACAAAAAATTAATCATTTCTTCTTCATTAGAAAAAACTATTAATCATTATTTTATTAAAAATACAAATGTTATCAAAAGCTTATTCCTAAAATCTTCTTTTTATGTTGAAGATTAACTATGGTTAATTCTATATCTAAATCTTCTTTTTATTCTTTGCAATAATTTCCTTTCTCTTAATCATACCAAAATTTGACTTTATTTTATTAAACAAAATTCATTAAACAAATCTGTTATATAAAATTTACTCTAAAAATTGTCACTAAATATTTTTCCTTCTCCCTTTTTTCAAATTATTATCTACTATTTTCAAAATGATAAATTTTTGTTTCTATTCATAGTAAAAAATTATATTAATTTATTCTTTCTAATATTTATATCATAACTTTTCTTTGAATTATTTTGAGTATTTAATTGCATTTTGAATTGAATTTAATTCATTAAATTAAATTTTAATTTTTAGGCATAAAGAGTTTGTGGATGATTGAATATCGTCATACATTAGTATATGCCTCAAAGGAATTTTTAGAGTATAATTAGCTGATGCTTACTTTTATTGAGTATTTGTTGACAACTCTTGAATAAATATTATCAAAATTATTTATAGCTAACAAACTCTTTAAATTTTAGCTGAATGCATTATTTAAAGCACGTTAGCTAAAAGTAAATTAGAAAGAGATTAAAGAAGACTTTTTCATGTCTTCAAAATTCGCAACACTCTTTTACATAAAAAAAAAAATAAGATTAAATTTTTTGATGGCTAATTCTTTTTGATTAAAGTATTAAATTATCTTTAACATCATTTCTGCTATCACAAAGAAAACCCAGAATCATTCGACATTTGTTATCTTTTTATGATAACTAAATGTAATTAAATTCTGGAATAAATCTTTTAATATCTAAAATTATGCTTACAAGCATAAAAAGGTTTTATAAACTAATTTCAAAACAATATTCATCAATATTAGCAAATTTTGATTTATTAATGATATTTTGTTTTCAATCTTTCATAAATTTAAGAAATTATATTATATTTAATTAATGAACGCTTCATAACCATTAAAATGACCAATCCATTCAAAAAGTCTCTTTTAAATATAAACAAACATTAAATTTAAACTCTAATCTTAGTTATGTATGGATTACCTCTTAACCATAGATGTCATAATTATGAAAGATAAAATGGAATTGAAGAATTTGCTAAAAAAATTGAATATTAAATTTTATTATATCTCTTCAGTTCAATAACTAGATATAGAATAATTCATAAAATTATCAAAAAAATATTCAATAATTCAAAAAACAGTTAAGAAAAACTGATAAATAAAATTCATATCATTTCACAATCACAATTGATATATTTGATATTGCTTGTAAAATTACTTAATCAAAAAGATCCTATTAGTTAACGAAGTGATTATGCTTAGTTTTTTACTAGCTTTAATTAAGATATATATAGAATTAATTGATTTTTTTAAAGTCAAAAATTCATCAATCATTATTCAAAAGTGAAGTATGAATTAATTAAATTAATTAAATTTTTGATTAATGAGTTTAATATTAAAATATTCATGAGTCATTCCCTATAACAGATTCATAAAAATGTTCAAATAAATTAGATTAAAAAAGAAGATAAATTTATGCATTTAATAATATAAAAAATTAATAAAACTAAGAGATAATTAATTCAAAAAAGTTGAATTTATACAATTTGAAACCTAGATTAATTGCATAATTAAAATTTATCGGAAATTAATAGAAATAGTTTAATAGAAATTAGTGAATAAACAAAAAAATTATAAATCATAATTTTTAGTTATTAGGAGGATTTGATTTTACTTTGATTTTATTTTGAATTGTTTATGATCAAATATTTAATAAATACTTTAATATTAAAGAATGTGTAATTACTTCACTAAGCTTTGATAATTCATTATTAATTGAGGATTTGAATAGAAAAGTTTTGATTATAATTTAAATATGTAAGAATCCACTGATATGTTGTCTCTTATTTTGTTTACGTTGATAAATTCTATAAATTTGTAGTTTCAGATTCAAAAGGTGATTGTCAGTAAGAAGTAGTAATATTTTTGAATTACAATAAAACTTATTTGTATGAAAAAAAAGAATAAAAAATTCATCCAATGTAGAATATGACTTAATCTTATGATTCATTATATGTGGTTCTTGTTGAATTTAAGTTTTATACAACTCAATAGAATAGATAAAATAATTTAATTACAGCAAAATTTTTGTAAATGATATAGTTGTTGACAATTAGTAAATTTAATATAACCATGCTTAAAATCAATATTAGATCATTATTAATGAATTATTCTAATGTAGATAATACTATAAGAGTAACGGACTTTTGATAAGCTATAATTTAATAGCTTTTATAAGATGTTTGAACTTAATATTAACAAAAATAAGGAAATGATAATAAATACTAAATGAAAACAACATAGTATTTAATGTTTTGAATTCATATAAATTTATTATTTTAATAATATGCACCATTCGTATTATTATTAAATGTCTTCATATCTTAAATTATGTTTTATATAATAAAATAATATTAATAATTCATAATGTCTCATGTATTAGAAGATTTAAGAAGAATTTTCCCTAAAAAGTCATTTTTACTCTAGACCTATATGTTAGGGTGCTTCTACTTGATACATTAACAATTGAATGTTGATGAAAAGAAGAAAGAGAAGTAGAACACACGAGTATTGAGATCAATAGTTATTGAAAATCAACACCAAAGACATTTGAAATAATTTTAATTGAAAATATTGATTGATTAACAATTACCACTAAAACCTTAATCCAGAATGTCATATGGTTTAATGGAATTCAGTAATAGATCTTTATTTATATTTTAGGAACACCATAATTCGTTGATTTCTAAAACTTGAATCAACCAAACTCAACATCCTAAGTGGTATTATTAATGTAATTCTTTAGCATTCTTTACAAATAGACTCAAAGCAGATTCAGAATTTCAGTTTGGATGACTTATCGACAATAGAAAGTGAATTTATCCCAGACTTGAAAACAGATCTATAAGTATAAAAATCTGTGGAAATGACATAGAGTTGCATCTTTTGAATTTGCTTTTTTACTTCTCCTTTTTAATTTAATCTATATATATATATGTATAATATATATATAAAGAAATATATATATTTTAAATTGTCTTATCAATCAGTTATTTATTTAAAAATGTCTTAAAAATCAAAAACATTATTGCAATTACTTCAACAATAATAACATTTCCATGATGATATTAACACATCCTTAGAGTCTAATTATAGACATAGTTCAGAACATACAGAAAAGAAGTTTGATCTTAAATTACAAAAATCAATACTTGATCTCTATTCACAAATTAAAAGTAATATCCTTAAAACAGAAGATCATGTACTAAATTTAATCCTAAATAGTTGTTACTCTGTTAAATTAGAAAATTAGTTCCTTTAGATAAACCAGAAGATCTTTATACAGATCCAAATAGTTTAATTTGTTATATTGGATGTATGTTCACAGTTCTAATGCAGGATAAAGTATATTTTAAATCTTAATAGTTAAATTTAGAATAATAAGTGGAAGAACAAAAAACTAGAGATTAAAGTGATTATGAAGAGTAATTAATTAAATTAGAAGCGGAGATTAGATAACATATAAGAGTATCATTATAAATTTAACTAGATTGAATAATAATTGAAATTATTTGCAGAAAATACTCAATCTAAATTAGAAGATGCTTTAAAAATTAAAGAAGAATTAGAGGAAGAATTATAAGCTATTAAAAGCGATTTCCAAATATTATATGATAAAAACAATTCTTTGAATTAAAAGTTAAGAAATTAAGAGAAAGAAATTTAAATTATTAAAAATAATACAACTGAGATTAACAATTAATCTCTTAAATCAAACAATCAAAAAGTTTAATCTAAAAAGGATAATATTGAAAATGAACCCCCAAAATAATAATCAATAACAATTAATTTATAAATAGATAAATAAAAGCCTCCACTTTAAGACTATGTATATTATATAATTCAATTAGCAGTAAGATAGATTATAAACTGATCCATAAGATGATTATTTTAAACCTAGAAATGATTCTCAAAAAAGAATGATGATTTCAACACATATTAATAATACTTAAAATAACAAATCAAGTTATTTAGCAACTAGAATATAAACAGAATCATATGAATATTAAGAAAGAAAAAGAAAACATAATTCATCTCATTATGAGACATCAAATGCTACAAAACATTAAAGAAATAAAACAGCTTAAAATGTATTGAATTTGATAAGTACCAATTATTCTAATTATAGAAGATTAAGAACTCAAGCGATAATAATCAGTGAAAGCATGTTAAGAAAAAAATCAAAATAATTAAAATAAAGTAACAAAAAAGCCCTCAACTTCTTAACATGCAGAACCTAATAGATCAAATAATTCTGTTCATAGTTTTCGTAAATAACCACCTGAAGTGAGTCAAATTCCTAGACCTTTTTCATGTGCTGAATAAATTGAAGAATCACATCATTCTGTAAATTTTTATGTCAAATATTTTAGTTTCACAAAGATTTAAGTATGGACATGGGCAATTATTAAAAATAAAATGGAGATTACTAAGAAAATTAATAATAAATAAAAAAAATATTGCAATAATATCAATAAAAACATTCTCTAAATGACACTTTAACTAAAAAATTACTTTAAGAATATAAAAAAAGATAAGGTTTTAATTGTAAGACAATTTATTGATAATTAATTAATTTTTATTCATTTATTAATTGCATTAAAATTTTATAAATTGAATGATCTTATTTAATAAGTTTTATTTTNATTTAGAATAATAAGTGGAAGAACAAAAAACTAGAGATTAAAGTGATTATGAAGAGTAATTAATTAAATTAGAAGCGGAGATTAGATAACATATAAGAGTATCATTATAAATTTAACTAGATTGAATAATAATTGAAATTATTTGCAGAAAATACTCAATCTAAATTAGAAGATGCTTTAAAAATTAAAGAAGAATTAGAGGAAGAATTATAAGCTATTAAAAGCGATTTCCAAATATTATATGATAAAAACAATTCTTTGAATTAAAAGTTAAGAAATTAAGAGAAAGAAATTTAAATTATTAAAAATAATACAACTGAGATTAACAATTAATCTCTTAAATCAAACAATCAAAAAGTTTAATCTAAAAAGGATAATATTGAAAATGAACCCCCAAAATAATAATCAATAACAATTAATTTATAAATAGATAAATAAAAGCCTCCACTTTAAGACTATGTATATTATATAATTCAATTAGCAGTAAGATAGATTATAAACTGATCCATAAGATGATTATTTTAAACCTAGAAATGATTCTCAAAAAAGAATGATGATTTCAACACATATTAATAATACTTAAAATAACAAATCAAGTTATTTAGCAACTAGAATATAAACAGAATCATATGAATATTAAGAAAGAAAAAGAAAACATAATTCATCTCATTATGAGACATCAAATGCTACAAAACATTAAAGAAATAAAACAGCTTAAAATGTATTGAATTTGATAAGTACCAATTATTCTAATTATAGAAGATTAAGAACTCAAGCGATAATAATCAGTGAAAGCATGTTAAGAAAAAAATCAAAATAATTAAAATAAAGTAACAAAAAAGCCCTCAACTTCTTAACATGCAGAACCTAATAGATCAAATAATTCTGTTCATAGTTTTCGTAAATAACCACCTGAAGTGAGTCAAATTCCTAGACCTTTTTCATGTGCTGAATAAATTGAAGAATCACATCATTCTGTAAATTTTTATGTCAAATATTTTAGTTTCACAAAGATTTAAGTATGGACATGGGCAATTATTAAAAATAAAATGGAGATTACTAAGAAAATTAATAATAAATAAAAAAAATATTGCAATAATATCAATAAAAACATTCTCTAAATGACACTTTAACTAAAAAATTACTTTAAGAATATAAAAAAAGATAAGGTTTTAATTGTAAGACAATTTATTGATAATTAATTAATTTTTATTCATTTATTAATTGCATTAAAATTTTATAAATTGAATGATCTTATTTAATAAGTTTTATTTTATAGTCTAATTAATTTCTATTTTTTACAACAATCTCTAAATAATGAACGAGAATGTTTTTGATGATATAAAAAAGGAACTAAACTTCTGTAAATACATGAATTATGCTCATATAATAATGTCTTTTTTTGGATTTTTAGGCTACATGGCTCGAAAGGTATCTCTTATATATATAGTTTGATTAAAGATTTTCTTCACTTTATTCATAAATGTGATTTCCATAATATTATCTATTGTAGGTTATTAAGCAATAGAAGAAATAAATAAATAGAAAATAATAGTATATGCAGTTTGTACTAGTTCACTATTTGGAATGGTTTTACTTTATGAAATAATTGCAGATTTGTTTTCAGAATCATATGTATCAATTAAGATTATTTTAGTAAACTGAAGCACCTCCATAATCATTTGTATTTTTAGTTATAACTTTGCCTTATTTAATAGATTTAGCAAGTGGTCTAATGAGTTTAAAATTATGTTATACATTCTAAAAATATGAGGATTTAGAATTTAAAAGAAAATATAATGTATAATGTATAACTGAATTCATTTAGTAAATCTTAATAGTAGAGAAAGGAAAAGAGAAAAATTATAAAGAAGAATCATATTTAGCAGATGAAATGTGTGCTATATGTTTGAGTGAAAAAAGGAATATAATATTTTATCGTTGTGGACATAAGGTTTGTTGTAAGAAATGTTCAGAAGCATTAAAAAAAAGAAATTGTCCAATATGTAGAGCAGATATCTAAGATTGTATTAAAGAATATGATGTCTGATGATATTTTTAATATTAAAATATCATAAGGATTCTAATCTTCTAGCTGTATTTTCTTCTAACCATTTTATAAATGTTTTATCCTGATATTATCCAAATTTTTCTTATTCTAGAAATTAATTAGCAGCTAATGTTGCTGCTGATTAATACTCTTCTAATATTTTGATATCAGTACAATCTAATTATGCTTAATTCTCTAAAGTAATAATAAAACATTACCTGGTAAATTATATTCGGGAACTATGCGTAGATATTTTCCTTAGTTTTTTTTTAATTCTAAATCTACAAAATCTTAATTGCTTACACCAAAAGCATCTAAGATTCTTACAACTCCCATTATACCTTCATCAACTTATAAATGTTATTTTTATTTTGAAACCTAATAGTTTATATAAAATAGTTACTCCAGTTGAAATACTAAGTACAAAGAAATTATCTTTATCTTTATTTAACATACCTTTTTTTAAATCATCTAATACTAAATTGGCTGGATTATTTTTACCAACTCCTCCATCAATAAATTAATATTCTTTTCCAGCTAAAGATTTAATTTAAGCAGCTGGAAAATAAGTTGGTGCAGCTGAAGTAGCTCTACCAACATCTTTAATTAAGAAATTTTCAGTTAAATCTAATTTAGCTTTTCTAGAACTAAAAACTTTAGCCATATTGTCTCCTTTATGTTTTTACAATTTAACTGCTGTTACAATCACATTTGTATGAGGTAAAGTTTCACTTAATTTAGCTGTTCCTGCATATCTATTATAATTATATAATAAATATACCTTTAAAGTACAGATTCAATACCTTTAGCATCATATTTTGATTTATTCATTAAAGTCCACACACCTCGTTTCTATTAATCAAATATAATCTTTCCATCTTCTGTAAAAAACTTTATAAGTTAATCTTTATCTGCTAATGGATGAATCCCATCTTAAGTTCCTGTCATTGCTAATGCCAATATTCCACCTATTGATGTTCCACCAATACAATCAAATATTTAATATGGTTCTTTTTTTATCTCATTACATATATAATTTATTATTGTTGCTGGCATCAAACCTCTTATACCTCCTCCATCTATCGATAAACCCATTTAACAATAATCTTATACATCTATTCTCAAAGTATCTTATCTATAAAATGGATCATTTAAATATATATCCTAATTACATTACTCTTTTATTTCCATTATATTCTTTATTTTCTATATTCCAAGCTTATAAAATGTTCGTTACTTTATTTCTTTATTATTAATATTTAATTTAAATTTTATTAAAGATATATTTGATTTCAATAATTATTCCAATTATTTAATCTATTACTTAGATATATCTCCTAATGTTATCTCTAAATTTTTTAAATGAGGATAATTTAAAATCTTTAAGAACTCTTCGTTAAAATGTTCTTAATGTTGTTAAATTATTTCTAAATTACTTAAATGACAATTTTTCATTATTTCTTAAACTAATATTGCTTAACTTGTTTTTATATTATTCTCATAGTACAATGTAGTTAAAGATTTACTTTTACCTATTGATTTTGATAACAATTCCATTCCCTCTTAACTAAAACTATTTTTTCTTATATCTAAAATTTAAAGTACATAACTCTAAGCTACAAAATTACAAAATGGTTAAATATCTTAATCTTCCAAAAAACAATTCTTTAATATTAAACTCTTTAAATATAACATATTTTATTCTTTACACTACCATTGTTTTTCTTCTATTTCTGCCAGAACATTAAAATTTGCATCTCCTATCTTATTTCCACTCAAATTAATATTATTTAAAGGAATCTTTGCTAATTTTTTCCCATCATCAAATAATTTATTTAAACTCTTCTTTGTCAATTAATTTTAACTTAAATCTATTAATTTTAAATTCTCACATACCCAAAAATGTTCGGCTATGTCTAAAAGAATTTTATCATCAATTCCTGCATTTCTTAATATTAATTATTAGATATTAACTTAAATTATATTATTTACCTAAAATATATTCTTTAAATTTTCTCTCTCCAAACTATTTCCAGAAAAATCAATCTATTAAATATGTATTGGCTTATCATTTCTTTAAATCTTTTCAAAAAATTTACCAATTATCTAATTTCCTATCACTTTTAAATTAGTAAAACTTATATTTAATGTTGTTCTATAATATTAAATTTATCTAATTAATTATGCTATTTTTTCTATTATATCTTCTTTTGAACATGGAATTGTTAAAGATTCTATATTCAAAAAGAATTATTAAGCAATTTACTTAATTTTTAAATCTTATTCTTCATTTATTAAATGAATCGTAGAATTAAAATCACTTAAAAATTAATCTAACATTTTTATTCTTTCTTATCCTCTATTCTTTAACATAGATTTTATATCAAGTTATTTTATTTATTCATTCTAAAATAAACATATAAATAAACATTACAAGATCTTTTTTTTATTCTATTCATCAAATTTATTTTAAAGAAATCCTCTAAATTAAAATTCAAAATCATCACTAATAATTCCATTTTTTATAAAAAACTAAGAGAAAGGAGATTTTATATATAAATCTTAATGTAATATTTTATCGTACAAATCGCTCAGTAATTAAAATATTATTTCCAAATAAATTTTATCATAATTAAATTCCTTATCTATATCTATAATAAGTGACGGTTAAACAAATCCTTTCAAAGAACCTTAAGATGTATGTTCATCAAATAAAATCTTAACACCTTAAAGTATCCAAAGTTGAATTATCTNAAATATCTTAATCTTCCAAAAAACAATTCTTTAATATTAAACTCTTTAAATATAACATATTTTATTCTTTACACTACCATTGTTTTTCTTCTATTTCTGCCAGAACATTAAAATTTGCATCTCCTATCTTATTTCCACTCAAATTAATATTATTTAAAGGAATCTTTGCTAATTTTTTCCCATCATCAAATAATTTATTTAAACTCTTCTTTGTCAATTAATTTTAACTTAAATCTATTAATTTTAAATTCTCACATACCCAAAAATGTTCGGCTATGTCTAAAAGAATTTTATCATCAATTCCTGCATTTCTTAATATTAATTATTAGATATTAACTTAAATTATATTATTTACCTAAAATATATTCTTTAAATTTTCTCTCTCCAAACTATTTCCAGAAAAATCAATCTATTAAATATGTATTGGCTTATCATTTCTTTAAATCTTTTCAAAAAATTTACCAATTATCTAATTTCCTATCACTTTTAAATTAGTAAAACTTATATTTAATGTTGTTCTATAATATTAAATTTATCTAATTAATTATGCTATTTTTTCTATTATATCTTCTTTTGAACATGGAATTGTTAAAGATTCTATATTCAAAAAGAATTATTAAGCAATTTACTTAATTTTTAAATCTTATTCTTCATTTATTAAATGAATCGTAGAATTAAAATCACTTAAAAATTAATCTAACATTTTTATTCTTTCTTATCCTCTATTCTTTAACATAGATTTTATATCAAGTTATTTTATTTATTCATTCTAAAATAAACATATAAATAAACATTACAAGATCTTTTTTTTATTCTATTCATCAAATTTATTTTAAAGAAATCCTCTAAATTAAAATTCAAAATCATCACTAATAATTCCATTTTTTATAAAAAACTAAGAGAAAGGAGATTTTATATATAAATCTTAATGTAATATTTTATCGTACAAATCGCTCAGTAATTAAAATATTATTTCCAAATAAATTTTATCATAATTAAATTCCTTATCTATATCTATAATAAGTGACGGTTAAACAAATCCTTTCAAAGAACCTTAAGATGTATGTTCATCAAATAAAATCTTAACACCTTAAAGTATCCAAAGTTGAATTATCTCTTATTATAATGCAACACAGCCTTTAGCTTATACTCTTGTTAATTTTATTTTATTTGTATAAACTGTTTAAAGACTTTTACAATAATTAATATTTAAATTTTGAAAAAATTAACCACTAATCTCAATTGATTTAACATTTGGTAATTTTTAAGCAATTAATGTTTTTAATCTTTAAAATTGTAATTATTTTTAATTTCCAATATTCAAGATATTTGAAATCTATCCTATATAATGCACATTTTAACATCCACTCAAATTTAAAACATGTAGTTCAGTACAATGTTCAGCTATATCAAAAATAAAATTATCATTAACAGCATCAACATAAGATAAATTTAAAATTTTTATTCTTATTAACTGCAAAGATTTAAAAAGTTAAGGAAATTATTTTGATTATAAATCTTTAAAGTTAACTAATTCAAAAGGTTAATTAAAATCTTTTGAGTAATCAGATAATAATTAAAAAGCCATTTGAATTTCATTTTCTTTAAAATATCTCCATTCAAAACTTTTCATTAACATTTAGAAATGTTATTATTTTTTGACAACAGATAGTTTTTTTTAGAAATTCTGCAAATTAGTTATTGACAATAATCTAGAATACTTGAGAAACATTTTTAATCCTTTATAAGGACCAATCATATTTTTCAAATTAAATCCAGATGGGTATTTCATATAAGCAAAACTTTCCCTAAAAGTAATAAAATCTGATAATATTAAACTATCAGAGTTTGTTGAAAATTTTGGTAATTCTATAAATTTATTAATTAAATTAAGAGTCTGATTTTCTATTAATATTTAATAAAATTCTCCCAAATTTTTATCAATTAATTTTAATAAATCTAAATATGATATATGAAGATTTGGCTTTGTAATGCAATTTTAAATTATAGTTGCTCTCCTTACTAATTCTATCATATTTTCTTTATATAATGGTAATAATAACAATCCTTCTGATTATGATGCAGTTGCTTCAATTTAACTTAATTGTTTCAACCATTGTTAAATAGTTAAAGTAATATTTTAAAAATTTTATAAATGTTGATTATCAATCTTTTCTCTCATAAACTACATTAAGAAATATATATTATAACAAGAAAGTTTTACATTCTCACCATCTCTTTCAAATCCATGGGAATTTATCAAATTATCATATTAAGGATTTAAATAAAAATTTGTAGTAACAGGTGAAAAATAATTTCCACATGGTACTAATAATTCTTCATCAGGAGATGTATTTGTAGATAATAATAAAATACTCAAAATTATTTTATTAGCTAAGTTATATTAACCAATCTAATTTTTCAATCTTTATTCATTATATTCATTATTTTACAAAAATTGAGTTATTGTTATTTTAGTTCTTTAATTAAAGTTATTATTTTGATTTATTAATTAATAGACCGAATATATTTATTATTCATTTTGTATTAATTCAACTCTTGAACTAAATTAATCTAATTGTAATAATCTATATAATAAGGAGGCCATAAATTTTTATAATGGAAAATTTGGTTGAATAAATAATAATTAATTTATAAAAGGATCATTTACATTTAAAACTGAATAATTTTTATTATTATTCTTGTTAATTTATGAATTTAAACTCAATTCTAAATAACCAGGAATTTCTTCTTTTTTGTTAGCTAATTGTTTATTTACAAAAATTTATTAATATTATTCTTCTTTTAAACTCCAAAATCCATGACCTAAAATTTTAAATGTATAATCTCCAATATTTTTAACTGTCTAATTCCAAAAATGATCCCATCTTAATCTTCCTTCAAATTAAGGATGAATTTTTGCTATTTAATCAAAAATTCTACAATGATGTTGAATTTCATTTTCTGATAAATTAGAAAAATAAACAGATTATGAAAAAATACTTTAAGTTTCATCCAACAAATAATTAAAATATTCAAATCTAATTTTTTAACCTTAACGATTTTCTAATAATTTTAATAATAAATAAAATTTTTTGTGTTTTAATGCACTTTCCACTAAAGTAATATGTTTTTCAAATCCTAAATCCTCCTTAAAAGATTTATTCATTAGATATGATATTATAATATGTGAATTTTGTTCATTTTCCTCAACTTACTCTATCGATTCAAATATATTTAAATTTAGTTTTAAATAATTATCTTTGAAAAATAAAATTGCCAATAATTCAACAAACAAAGTATTATTAAATTATGATGAAGATTAAATGGAATAATTTGCTTAAAAAGCCTATTTCCATAAATCTAGATCAAACCAAGAATCATTAAATCCATTAATTATTGATTAATAGATATTTTCTTTTTGACTGACAAATTAAGTATCTAAATAAAATTTCAGATTTGCCAAAAAATCTAAGAGTTTAATTCTATTGGTTAGACTTATTTCATATTAAATATCTAATTTTTAAAAACAACTTATTATTATATATTTAGGTCCCTACATATATTATTAGGATATTAAATTTGGATTCTAATTCAATTTCCCTTTTTATTTCTCATTTGATTATTCCTGCTAATTAAGGTCTTATTTAATTTATCTTATTTAATTATTATATTTGGTAATAATTTTAGGATCAATTATTTTATGAATTAATTCCTCAAGGTTTATATTACTCAAAAATTCTTTATATTCATTTAATGTTTAAAATTTACTTGTATCTAACCTTTAAAACTAGAAAAATACTTAATTCAATTTTTCTGTTATTTAAATCAATCTAACACATAATTATTAAGGAAAGATTACTTCTTAAACAGTAATCAGAGTATCTTCTAATTTTTTAATTCTTTAATAAGTCAATGAAAGCATTTCATAAGTTATCTAAAGAGATTTATATCTAACAATTTCATTCTTTTCTTCTTATTTATAATGGAAATCATTTAATTGCGTATCAGATAAAAATTAAAGGAATCTCAAAAACTCTTGAAAAATGTTTTAAGGTTTAAATTCTTCAAATTCTTAAGGACTATAAGTTGTATCAAATATATATTGTTTATAATACAATAGTGGATTTCTAAATTATTCATACATAGTTAATTATTATGGTATATCGTGGCAATATTTTGCTTATAAATTTCCAAAGTAAATGGGTATTAGATGATCTAAATGATCAGTACATTATAAAGACAAATAATGTTTAGCAAAGTCAATTTTATTAATAACTAAATCTGATTAGGCAATTTTAGAAGTGATAAAAAAATAAGAGTATTATTTTTTAATTTCTCTATTTTTTTATTCATAAGTAGTAATTCTTATTACAAATCCAGGAGTAAAGGATAATTAAAATATCATCGATCTAAGTACAAATGAAACTAGATATCTTTAATAATAAAAGATTTCTTCATTGTTTTTTAGTCTTTTGACTAAGAATCCAGAATTATCTAATTTTTATATTAAACTTGGATCTCCTTTATTCAATTAAGTAGCTATTTCTTTACTTATTGTATGAATAGTTTACAAAGGACATTTTAAAAGTGCCTAATCTTCATAATATGTATTTTCTTTTTCAATATAATTTATTAATTGTTATAATACTTCATGTAGTGGAGATATAGAATGAACAAATTTTGAAATTGATTGAAGCTCTTTAAGCTCATATATTAATGTTGCTTAAGCTTAATCTTTTAAATTTTCAATATGTTATCTTTTCAATTTTTTTAATATTTCCTTGAGCTTATTACAAAATATAAGTTCATTTAAATCAATCTATTAAGTTTGTTTATCGTTTAAATGGAAGTTTTAAATTATGTTTTAAATAACATTAGAATCATTAGAGCCTTTTTTAATTAGCTTTTGTTGTTCTTCTAAAAGATCAGAATATTAGTATTTTAGTTATGATAATAAAAATTTAAGTTTAACCCTAAAATTATTGAGTTTTTAAGGTTAAGCTTGAAGGTTGTCATAAAAAGAGTCAGCAAATTGTTCTAATTATTTCATTTAATAAGGTAATCTAATAAAATATTAATATAATAATTGAATGGAATAGCAAAAAGTAATATTAATATAAAAGAAATATATATAAAAGAATAAAAGGAAACAAAAGAAAGAAATAAGGAATAGAATATAGAGATTTAATGAATAAATTAAGTATGAAAAAAAGAAAAAAAATGAAAGAAATAGTAAAATTTGATGAGAGCGTTAGTGGTTAATAAGGTAAGATTTTGATGAAAATAAAAGAGGAAAATTGTTGAAAGATTAATCATTTTATAATAGACTTGTGGAAACTATGTAAGGAGCAAAATTTGCGTTTGATAGAAACCATAAGCAGTCAAAATTCTTAAAAATATAAAGTTGACGAATATAATGGGGGAAGTGTAAGAATCATAAAGGAAATTTTAGTTATGCATAAGCTAATTAAATTTGCCTTATTTTTTATGGATGAAGATATAATATAGGATGGATTTGATGATTTAAGAAAAGTTTAATAATTTATGATACTTTTAAAACAAATGGACTTTAAAAACTACCTGGACATTATATAGAAGTAAGATTCAAGTTAAAATGAATAAGATATTAAAGGAGAAATGAATTTTAACAATTACAATTAGCAAAATTGTGTCAATAATTTAACATAATTGTTAGATATTAATTTCTTATTTAAATANGACATTTTAAAAGTGCCTAATCTTCATAATATGTATTTTCTTTTTCAATATAATTTATTAATTGTTATAATACTTCATGTAGTGGAGATATAGAATGAACAAATTTTGAAATTGATTGAAGCTCTTTAAGCTCATATATTAATGTTGCTTAAGCTTAATCTTTTAAATTTTCAATATGTTATCTTTTCAATTTTTTTAATATTTCCTTGAGCTTATTACAAAATATAAGTTCATTTAAATCAATCTATTAAGTTTGTTTATCGTTTAAATGGAAGTTTTAAATTATGTTTTAAATAACATTAGAATCATTAGAGCCTTTTTTAATTAGCTTTTGTTGTTCTTCTAAAAGATCAGAATATTAGTATTTTAGTTATGATAATAAAAATTTAAGTTTAACCCTAAAATTATTGAGTTTTTAAGGTTAAGCTTGAAGGTTGTCATAAAAAGAGTCAGCAAATTGTTCTAATTATTTCATTTAATAAGGTAATCTAATAAAATATTAATATAATAATTGAATGGAATAGCAAAAAGTAATATTAATATAAAAGAAATATATATAAAAGAATAAAAGGAAACAAAAGAAAGAAATAAGGAATAGAATATAGAGATTTAATGAATAAATTAAGTATGAAAAAAAGAAAAAAAATGAAAGAAATAGTAAAATTTGATGAGAGCGTTAGTGGTTAATAAGGTAAGATTTTGATGAAAATAAAAGAGGAAAATTGTTGAAAGATTAATCATTTTATAATAGACTTGTGGAAACTATGTAAGGAGCAAAATTTGCGTTTGATAGAAACCATAAGCAGTCAAAATTCTTAAAAATATAAAGTTGACGAATATAATGGGGGAAGTGTAAGAATCATAAAGGAAATTTTAGTTATGCATAAGCTAATTAAATTTGCCTTATTTTTTATGGATGAAGATATAATATAGGATGGATTTGATGATTTAAGAAAAGTTTAATAATTTATGATACTTTTAAAACAAATGGACTTTAAAAACTACCTGGACATTATATAGAAGTAAGATTCAAGTTAAAATGAATAAGATATTAAAGGAGAAATGAATTTTAACAATTACAATTAGCAAAATTGTGTCAATAATTTAACATAATTGTTAGATATTAATTTCTTATTTAAATACAGGCAAAAGTTTAAATTTTAAAACCTGATAATATAAGTTATAACCACTCTATTTTATTTATTCTAAAAAAGTATAAGAATATATTTAATTCAATTATTTCTGACTCAAAACAATTCTAATTACATTAAATTAATTCTTTAATTAATGAATAATAAGGAGGAGATTGTTCTTGGATATCTAGAACCGTCTGAAAATATTTAAAATACAGAGGATGAATTACCTTCCTATGCAAATGGATTGCCTGTAGATAAAATTTATTAAATTTTAGTAATTTTTGGAATGTGAAGATAAATTTGAATCAATAAAATGTTCTTAATGTGGTAATCCAATGAAGATGTTACTTTAAGTATATTTTAATAAAATATTTAGATTTATGCGCCATTAAATAATAAGCATGCCTCTTTTCGAGAAATTTATGTTTTTCTATGTCTTAATGAATAATGTTCTAAACATAATTGTAGTATTAGAGTTTTTAGAATGTAATCTTCTTAAAAACCTTAACTTTTTTAATCAAAAAATAAAGATTATATAATTTCACCACAAAGCAAATAATTTATAATAGATACAGAAATAATAAGTGCAAAAGAAAATAATAATGAATTTTAGGTAGCAGAAGAATTATTACCAACTAATTTAGAAGATGAAGATAAAGATGTTGATTTGAAGAATGTAAAATTTGATAATGAGAATAAAATTTATGAAAATTATTTAAAAAACACTGAGGAAAAAGAAGATATAGAAGAATTAGATGGATTAGAAAAAGATTAATAAAATAATATTGATGGTTGTTTTCTCATTTATTAACAGTATGAATAATAAAATAATTAGTTTTTTGACCTAATATCAAAATCATGTTGTGAGATATTGTTTTGATTCTTTAAGTAAGCCACTCTGGTTTAGTGACAAAAAATAACCATAAGTAGAATCGAAATGTCCATATTGCAAAAAAAATAAGATTTTTGAATTTCAAATCAATAATTCTATTCTTACATATTTTCCAGAATTGTATAATTTAGAATGGGGAGCATTGTATATTTACAGTTGTCCTTAAAGTTGTGCTGTTGGAGGTTAAATTTTAATAGAAGAAACTGTCTATGCTCATTCAGATGAATAAGAATTTATTAGTCCAAACTTAAAGGTAGATCCAGATACAAAATTAGTCACAATAAAATAAGATTCAAATAAATCAAATAAATAGAAACAATAAATTTAATAATAATAGTAAATTTAATAAAAGATTGATGAAAAAGATGACGAAGATGATTGGTGATTCAATTCTATGTATTTACAATATTCAATTATTTATTTCCTATTTTTTTTATTTGAAATATTTGTTTTATGTATATTAATTTTGCATATTAACAACAAAAAAGTTAAATAATCAAAGTTCAAATGTAACTAATAACTCAGCATCTAATGTAGCTCCATCTAATAATTATAATTTCTTTTCAGATGTAAAATCTTTTGGATAATATTATGTGCATGATTTTACTGGATCAAGCAATCCCATTTCTTTATATGCCTTAGCAACAAGTTCAGAACAAAAAAATGTTCTTTTTTTCTCTTCTATCTCTTAAATCTTTACAGGATTTAATTTATGAAACAGTCTTAAAAAATTTTGTTGGGTCAAATGCTATATTTATTTCCAAAATTATTTGTTATAAACTATTTTAATCTATCTTACACTTCTGGATTTTACTTTTTATGATAATTCAATTTTCTTATACTAATCTTTTCATAATCATTAACCCAACATTATTCAATCATGTATGCTTTTTATATTTATTATATATTTTACTCCATGGAAATGTACCCACTCCACTTTAAACAGCTTCAAAACAATATAATAATCCTTCATCTCTATATAACAAAGATACATGATCATAATCACACATCAAAATTGCTCTTGCTACCTTTGTTAAATTGTTTTTTGATTTAAATAATACTATGTCACCATCTGAATATTCTTAACATTTGTAATCTAACAGTTTTTCCAAAATTTAGGTATTTCTTTTAAAAATCGTAATTATTATGTATTTCCAAATGAGTTATTCATTTATTTTTTTATTTTTATGCCCATATATGTGTTATCTCTGGTTTTTCACCTTTAAATATGAATTCTTTTTTAGTTCCTTTTGGAATTAAACTTAATTATTTTTATATATATACACAAATTCTATTGTTTAATTTCTATTATTTTAAACTTCTTTAAACTCATAATCTTATAAATCAAAGTCTAAATAACCTTCAAGTGCTTTAAGATTTTCAGAATGGTAATATGAAAATATTCTATCTTACAATTTGCAATATTTTTAAATATCCAACTATAGAATAAGGACTCTTCTTTTGAACATATCCATCTAAAGTTGTTAGTTTCTGTGATCTCATATAAATCATATGAACCCATGATTAATTTATATTTTTGTTTATTAACTATTGATTTTCATTTTTATAAAGAATCAATATTTTAACTTAGTAGCTCCTTATCATTAGTCTTCTTTAATCTAATTTATGATGAGATTGCTACTGCTTCAGCTCTTTTATTCCCAAAAATAATACTTTTATTATTATTCATTATAAATAATAATAAATCATTGAATTTAAAAGATATTTATGGACCAAGATTTTTAAATATTTGAAAATTATACAATTATAATTTTATCATCAAAGAAAATGATGCTAAAGAAAAAAATAGTATAAATCATTTTATAACCTAATAAAGATTATTAAAGAATGATTCTTTAAAAGTTTAAGAATTAAATAATAAATAAAAGTAAATAGAAGAATTTTTATTCATTAGATTCGATTTAATAAAAAATAAAGTGAAGAATTATACAATATACTTTTTAATATTTAATATATTGATTAATATTATGCAGATTAAGAAATCAAATAAGGTTGTAGTAAATAGAATTGAGAAAGTAAATTCAGAATTATTGACATTGACTTATGGTGCCATAGTTTCATAGATAATTAAAGATAGTGATACTGTTATAGAAGCTAATGAGCAATTGGAAAAGATGGGTTTTAATATAGGATAAAGAATAATTGATGAATATCTTTCAAAAGCAGAAATAAAGTAATGTAGAGACAAGAATGATGTTGCAGAAAATATTGGCAAGGTTTTTAGTGATTATGAAAATAGGGAGCCATGTAAATGTTTTTAGGAGTAACAGCAGAAGTGGAAGTATTACCAGAGACTGATAAAATATTCACTTTTAATTTGCATTTCACAGAGAATCCTTTGAATGATTTTGTAGAATTGCCAGAACATTTATAAGGGCTAAATTATTCAAATATGATTGCTGGAGCAATTAGAGGAGCTCTATCAACAGTAAAATGATAAAATTAAAATTTAGATTCATTGGATAGCTACTTGCAGATTTTTGAAAGATCAATTAAAAAATGATGATAAAACTATATTGTAGGTGGAAATGATTAGAGAAAAGTTCAAAGATGATGAATGATTAATATATATAATTTAATTTATGTCAACATATAGGGGAACATTTGAACACGATTCCTTTTTAGGATGGTTGAACTTATTCAAGATAAGAAGATTACAGGTACTCTATAATGTTGGTGAAAGACCACCATACCCAGTAATCATTAGTAAACCTACAGTTGGTGAAGTAAATTTATATCTTAATATTGATAAGGTATTAAGGAATTTGAACAAGGCAGATTTTGGATTATTTGCTACAGTGACATTCTTAGGTTTCTTTGCAGCTAGAAGATCAACATTAGGATTAACAACTACTGAGTATATGAGATAGAGAGGATTTTCAATTGCTTGGAATTCATTTATGATGGCAGGAGCTCTATTTGCTTGCATGAATAGTAATAATAGATTGACTGTATATTTATATTAATGATTTAGGGATTTGTGGACAATGGATTATAATGGAGAAGAAAAGAATAAAGATTAATCAAATATGACTTCACATCAGAATTCGAAGAAGGGACTATCTGGAAATTCTTTAGATTAAGATGAGATAAAATCATATATTAAATGCATATATTTACATTATTATTTTATAGATATCAATATTATAATTCAATATAAAAATGTAATTCATTAAAAATTTTAATTATTGATTTAATGCAATAGCAATAATAGTAAGAGATGTTGAAGAATTTGACTAATTAATAAGTTGTTCAATACAACAAAATGAGATAGGATTATGCTGAAATATTCAGAGTTTATCTTGATATAGAAGATGAGAGGAAAGAACACACATTAGTTTTGGATGCAGTCAAAAATATTGATCCAAAGAGAAGGTGAAATACTTTACGTATTTTAGATGTTGGAGATTGATTGGAGGAGTTCTTGTTGAAAGATAATTGGAAGATGTGTTAAAATCTTTAAAGGAAAGTTTAGAATTGCTTGAAAAGACAGGATAAAATTACAACACTGCTATGAAATAGAAGTATGCGAATTATATTTGAGATTATTTTAGAGAAAAAGAATTACTTGATTTTGAGTTAACTCACAATTTGAGACCTTAACAAAATTAACAATAACAATAACAATCTGTGGGATCATCCAAAACATAAGGAGTATTAACTTGAAGCATTAATATGTTTTATATTCACAATAATAAAAAGCAATCTGTTTTAATTAATTTAATCAATAATAAATAATCATTAATTAAGTCCAGGTCTTTTTTCATTCATCGAATCAGCCATCTTAGCTGTTTGAAAAGATCCAGTTGCTATTTATATATAAAAATATAATTACAATCCTTTATATTATCTAACAGAGTTTTAGGAATACGATTATCAGGACAGGCTTTTTAGTCTTCAAACCACATCTTTATTCTTTTATTATTAATCACCAACTAATTCTTTAATTTTGCAATATCTTCTTCATCACAATCTCATCAATTGCTTCGCCATCCCTTGGTTATATGATATGAAATAATACTCCGGTAACTAATTATAATATAATATAATATAAATTCTACCTTTTTCAGCATCAAAAGGAATTGACCATGTGAATATATCCATAAAATTTGGTAGCAAATAAGGATGTGAGTTATAATTGTATTATTGTATATTCAAATCGTTATTCTATCATTTTGATATTTAAAATACTTGAAATTTAATGACAGCTCCTTTATTTTTATAAACATCGCAATAATTTGGAGCTGAAAATATTGTAATTGCCATTGGAAAATCTTAACCTCCATCTCATCTATGCATTTTATATCCATCTAATTAAGCTTCATGTGCTCTAATGATAGATATTAATTTATTTCTTTCTAAAAATCTACTTACAGCTTCAGAACCATAAAAATAAGAACAACCTCTAATTTCATTGATTCTAAATTGACCTTCACATATTCCATCATCATTATCTCTTGGATCTGCCCAAAAAATATGACAAAAGATTCCATTCTTTGATCAAATTTACATCACTCACATAAAATTGATAAAAATATTGCATTTCTTAATTCTAGAGAGATGCTTCCATGTAAAGTTATAAATAAACTATTTATAATGCAAGCTAATAGAAGATTATCAAAAGAATCCATGAATAATTCATACAGTTCTTAATCATACTTATTGCATTCATCCATGAAATTAAAAAATGATGTTAATTATCTACATTCGTGATTACCTCTAAGCATGTATAATGTTCGAGGATAATTAAGTTTAAGTGAATAGAGTAAAATTACAACTTCAACTGAAAATGGTCCTCTATTGACATAATCTCCAAGAAATTCATATTTCTGTGTTTCAGGATTGCCACCTACATCTAAAATTTTAAGAAATCATAAATTTGCCTACTTATCAATTTAAATAAAATACCCATGAATATCTCCCACTACCATCAAAAAGGATCTTATAGATACAATAAACTGCCTTCATTCTCTGAAATATTGATTACAATAATTACTAAATATTTTGTTAGCCATGCTTATCAATTTGATTACTTCCTTTTCAAAATGCTCTTTGATGAACTTCCAATCAGGTTTGCCTTTTATTATAAATATCTCATGTCTAGATTCTTAGTAGGGAACATTAAATAAGGATCTAAATGACGATGGGGAGGTAATGGAACTTGTTTATCCACTCTATCCTATGTTGGATCACATAGTGGTTACATATTAATTTTTATTATCGTTTTTTTAACTATGAATTAACTCATATTTTCCCTTTTGATTGTCACAAGTCTCTGTGGCTAGGATCAAGGTACTTTTCTATAAGAGAAATAAGATAACAAGATATTCACCATCAAATTAAAGGAGACTTATAAAATTGTATTTTATACAATTGAAATCATAGGTGACAGCAAAAGAAATCTATGATTTTCTTTCAACTAAACAAACATATTTTAGATAATAAACTCCAATTAACATTTAAGAAATAGAATTTGGCGGTTATGTACCTAAGCCATAACAAAATGAGTAAAAAAAAGAAACATCTTTGAAATTACATAATTTTAAGAATACTTAATTTACTGGACCCATTACAGTGGGTGATTAAGAATTCTAAGTGATATTTGATACTGGTTCTGCAAACTTTTGGATAGACTCTATAAAATGCAAGAATGAAGGATGTAAACAACACACTTAATACAAACCAAGTTTCAGAGCAAATCATTTAGGATATGCTTTAAATGTGCAATTTGGTACTGGAGATTTAAATGGTGAAATAAATTCAGATATTGTTAAATTGGGAGAAATAGAAGTTGAGGATTAAAACATTGCTGAAATAATTGAAGAAAATGGTTCTGTATTTTAAAATGTATGAAAGTTAAATAATTGCAAAGTCAGGATTCGATGGTATAGTAGGATTAGCTTATCCAAGCATGGCAGCCTATAATTTTAATCCATTGTTTGACAATATAATTAAAGAGAAGAAATTGAAATCGAACTAATTTTCATTTTATATGAGTAACTAAGTCAACAGCTATGAATCATAAATCACTTTTGGTGGTTACGATGTTACAAAACTTGATGGTCCAATTCATTATCATCCAGTTATTGATAAATATTATTGGATGATAAAGGCAGAAAATATATTGGTTAATGGCAAGGATGAAGGATTCTGTCCAAAAGGTTGTAAAATAGTTGCTGATACAGGTACTTCATTAATTACAGGTCCCTTTGAAGATTTGATGAAATTGTTAGGTATTTCAATTAATTTAATTATAAGATTTAACTAACATAAATGATGATTGTTCAAATTTAAATCAATTACCAAAATTAACCTTTAGGATTGATGGAGTCGATTATGATTTAGACTCTAAAGACTATATCATGGAATTGAAAGATGATGGTACAGAAGTACCCTTAAACAACGATGTTTCTGCTTCAGCATTTATTTAAGGAACTTCCAAACAATGTATTGGAGCATTTATGCCTTTGGATATTCCAGATCCTCAAGGTCCTGCTTGGATTTTGGGAGATATTTTCTTAACTAAATATTTAAGTGTTTATGATAGGGACACAAATATGGTTGGATTTGGAAAGGCAAAACATTGATATAATGAATTTATTTTTACAAAAATATAATCAACTCAAAAATTTACTTGATGATTTGGTAAATAACAATATAGAGCTGCTTTCTATTAGACAGGAGGCATTTAAAATTACTTAAGTTATTGTTGATAATCTACTAATAAATTATAATGATTACTTTGCACTTCAGTTTATCTCTTTGTCAATTTTTAGAGTAATTAAATATTTAGATACCAGTATTAAGCTGTGAGTATTTGGATTTCAGATGTTATTTTATGAGTCTTTAGTTAATCTTCAATTGTTCTAAATAAGCCTTCTGCAGACATGTATCTTTATTCAACAGTATTCAACCAACCCAAACCCATTAAAGGCTTATGAACTTAGTTCTATGCTTTCTTTTCTGTAAATTTCAAATATCTATTTAATACCTATCCAACGATTGTCTTTAAACATTAAATATATTATACTTTGTTATATTACTAAACATTGGCAGAAATAATGAAGTCAGTTAAGGCTTTGTATAATTTAAGAGAAAAATCAATAGATGGCATTTTATCTATCTTGGCTTCTGCATTCAAAAAATGATCCAAAAAGATTTATCCTTATTGCATTCCATAATTGGCATTGAAAGAAACGGGATTGTATCCATGTCCAGATGCCAACCATTTCAAAATGGCATAATCGAGGAGTGATTATTCTTCATATTAGTAAACTTACCTTTTTAAAATTTGGCTTCTGAATATTCTATCAATGAGATTAATTTGTCTTCTGTATAAGGGGAACTCAATAAAGCATAGTTATACTTGATTTATATTTATAATATAATACAGCTTCAACTCTTTTGAATTCATAATGCAATACATTTCCAATAAATTAACGTTCTTATTAAGCAAGCATATTCATATTATGATTTGTGTTGTAATAAAGATTGTTTTGCATATATTATAAAACATTTCCAAGTGTGTCTAATTTGTATTGCAAAATATCATTTTGTTATTTTGGTCCAATTTTGAGAGCGTTTTGATATGATCTAATTGTGAAGTGTTGAATTACATAGATAATAAATCATTAGGCAAACGACCATGAGGTTTAAGAATCTGAATTAATCTTAAAAATAAGTCATGAGCTTATGAGAAAGCATTATTATTCATTAGAGTTTAGGCTTGTTGAAATTCATGCATATGGTAGAAATCATGTGAAAATTAAAAGAGAGGCCTTTTGATAAACATAATTATTAATAAATATAAGTCTAAGAATTTAGAATGATTTTTGTATTTGGACAATTTTACTTAAAATATGTAAATTTAAATGCGCATTATCTTCAGAGATAAAAATTGGAAGAAGAATCTTAAAAAGTGAGATAAATAAATAATCTTTAATGAAAGCTGCTGCTCCAAGAATTTATAAAATCAATCAAGGAGAGAAAGTTGGAATGCAGAGTTCTTCATTCAACAATATTATATTGAATGTTCATCGACATTTTCTTATTACATAGAATCAAAAGGAGAGGCGACAGTAATTGATCCATTTCGAGATATTGAATAATATGTGTAATTGTAAATATTAATAATAAGTGAATTGGCCAAAGATTGAAATGCTTAAATAAAATGGGTGCTTGAAACTCATTTCTATGCAGATTTTGTGAATGGTCACCTTGAATTAGCAGCAATAACAGAAGCAACAATAATGTATGGTCCAACAGCAATAGCAGATTTTCCAATGAAATAAGCCAAAAAGTGGAAATAATTACCAATTGGATCTATATAAATATGAGTGGATCATACTCCCAGACATACTGTGGAATCCAGTTGCTTTGTTTTAGTAAATAATAGAAAGATCATTCAGTAGATACAGGAGATACCTTTTTTTTTTTGGGAGAAGTGGGTAGACTGGAATCATTGATGTAGTTATCAATATTACATTTATGTCAGGATTAGTTAATTTCGTTGATAATGTTATTATTTTTCAAAGCTGATTCAGGTATTCTAATATTATTTAAAAATAGGAAACATATCTTTTTAGAGAAGATAATAAAACTGGTATCATTAAAAGAGCTATTAAAGTTCCTTTACCTGAAATGAAAGCCAATCTTACAAAATTCCTAAAGATTAGATCGTGCATGTTTATTGTAAAAAAGGAGGAAGAGCAAATATTGCTATGAGTCTTCTCGTTAAGAATGATTATAAAAATCTAGTAATTACACAAGAAGGAGGTTTCCCTTCTATGAAAAGATAATAATTAGTTGAAGTTGAAAATATTTGATATTCATAATTATTCATATTAAATAACAAAAATAAAACTAATTAATAGTTTATTGATGGTTAAATTAATTAATTAAAATAATCATTTGATATCAATCTTAAAAAAATTCACATTTTTTAGAAGTCTTGAAATTATAATATAAATGTTTAATAAATTATAATTTTGTACACAAACCAATACTCTCATTATTATTTGCATTCTGGTTTTTCAGCCTTTCCTTTTTTATCCTTATCAGACTTTTTACTATCACCACTCTTTTTTCTTTACTAATATAGTATATAAAAATAAAACTTACACTCTTTTTCTTCTTATCATCTTCTTCATCATCATCTTCTTCATCCTCATCATCTTCATCATCATCATCTTCATCAACATCTTCATAATCTTCATCATCTGGATTTATTCCCAAGAAATATTCCAAACTATATGGAATTACTTCTTCAGCTATTGTTTTACCAATTTCATAATCTTCATCAATATTCTATTATATTATAATCTATTATTTTACTCCTGCTTTTCCTTCATCTTCTCCTTCATCCTTATCTTCGGAATTTTTGAAGAAATTAAAGAAACTTAATTGAGTTTCCTTTTTCTTAATAACTCTAGAAGCTCCTGTCTTTTTATTTTTTTATTTCTTCATTACATTAAATTCATTACCTTCTCAACAATCTTAACTGTAACATCTTTACCTTCATTCCATTCAATCACAGTTCCAACTGTGCTTGTTGGGAAATCTTTACCTTCTTCTATAATAAATTTCTTTGTCAATTCTTTATTCTTAAAATATTCATTATCTTTAAAATTAAATCTAAGTGTAAACACTTCAGTATCAACTGAGGTTTCCAATACTATTGAAGTTAAAAATTTAAGGATATCTTTATCCTTCTCTCCAAAAACATGAGATAAATTATCGCAATTTGTTAAGACAGTTCCCCAATAATTATCTATTGGCTCTGTTTTTTAAGCTATTTTAAGAGCTTCTTCTAATTCAGCTTCAGAAAAGAAATCCTTAAAAAGTTCTTGTTCTTCAGCACTTACAGCTCTTTAACCATTTATGAGTAATTGTTATTCTGCATAGATAGGAAGTGATTTGATATCATACTACTTTTAAAGAGCATGAATCTTATCTTCACATTCCTTGTCTAATTTCTCTTTTTAAAGATAATGATGTTATATGGCAATCGCTTTAAGTCTATCTTTAAGAGGAAGCTCTCTTATCTTATTTTCTAAGGTTTGAACATGTAATTCATGTCCTTCTTTTACTTCATTTGTAGTTGGTTAAGCTCCGCCTTCCATTAATTTATAAAAAAATGTGGATTTAAAATTTCATTGAATCAAGGGGGTATTAAATTTTTGGATAATTATTAACATCACCTAATCATCACTTCTAAATGTTCGAATCATTATTTTTTTAATAAATATGCAGTATGAATCTGTTCCTTAAACTGAATATCAAAAATATTCTGTTGATTCCTCCTTACTAGGAGATGCTTAAAAGAATTTCGCTAAAAAAGTCTTTTCTATTGTTGGCTTTTAACTTATGGCCACTACAATAATTGCATATTTGGCAATGAATTACAGGTTTTTCGAGACTTTGTGTGAAATTCTTTTTATACCTGCAATAATTTGTGCAGTTGTATCAGGAGTATGGATTTACTTAAGCAGAAGTAAATTTAAATTTTTATGAATTTTAAATAGCATCCGCAAGAAAGTTTCCATTAAATTACATCTTACTAAGCATTTTTACATTAGGAGAATCTATTACCTTAGCCACATCATGTGCTTAAATAGGAGACCCTGAATTAATTTTTTAAGCATTCCTTATTACGACTGTGATTGTAGTTGCTTTAGCCATATATTCAATAACTACTTAAAATGATCTTTCATTTCACGGAACAACTAGTAAAAATTCATTTCAAACTCTAGTCTTCCTACTTTCACTTGGTTGCGCGATAGCAGGAATAACATATTTTTTTTCTGGAAATTCAATGGCTTATCAAATCTATTTAATAGGAGGTGCTATTTCATTGGGATTGTATTTGGTATTCTTAAAAAATCTAATTAGGTTTATGATATATAATTAATTATGGGAGACAAGAATCTAAGATTAACTATTGATGATTATATTTTAGGGTCGATTTTGATATACACAGATATAATCAGAATTTTCTTGAGAATCGTCAAAATCTTACTGAAAGAGAAGAAAGAAAAATGAACTCTATTCAATCTACATTAAATTCAATTACAATATTATTTTTTTATTCAAATTCCATTTAAAACTAATAATTCTGGACCTAATTTTAATATTCTTATTTATCTCTAATATATTAGAACATTTATTTTACTCTTTTATTGATAAATTTTAGAATTTATAATTGAAATCTCTCATTCCAAATAATATATTCTATTCATTATAATTTATATTCAACCTAAATTGAGAAAATATATTCTACTTTTCAAAATTGTCAGAAAAGGGAATAGATTCAACTTATTTTTTCTTTTTATAATTACTCTTCTCAACTGTTAAAGAATTATAACATCCTTTGTTTTAATAATTTCTTTTTTTCTTCTTAATTCTTTTATTCTCATCTATTTAAAATACCTTGTTGTCTTAAAATTTAAAATATTTCTTTCTATTACTTCCAACTTAATAAGATACATATTCTTGATTTTATTATTCTAATGGATTATCTTTTGTTTATTATGAAGCCATTAGATAAATATTCAAATAAATTATCACAATATAATCCAATTTGCACATTGAAAAAATTGAAAAAGAAAATCAAGTGAATGATTAACATAATTATTTATTCTACTTATGAAACCGAGTATTCATAAAATTCAGCTTCATTCCAACTAACATATCCTAAAGTTAACCTTTGATTATTATAATTCATAAGGAAAGTATTGAGCATATTTTAATTGAAAATCAGCAATAGTAATTTTTTACATTTATTAGATAAAATCGTATTTTATACTTGCAAAATCGAAAAATATGTTTTATATTGTCATTAGTGGATAAAAATTTTATAATTTAAAGGTAATTGATATGTGAAATTAATCTTCTAATGGGATCGATATCTAAAAAAAATTAATTAAAAATTAATTAAAGTCTAAAGGTTTAAAAAAATAAAAATAAAATTCTAAATAAAGAAAGTTAGAAATTAGATAGAAAAATTCTTACAATTAATAATTAATATATATTAGTATTTATGATTCTAAATATTATTTATTTACCCTTAACTTAATAATCACTTAAGATGAATGAACATAGATGTTGGATTTTCTAAATATGTTTTCCAGACATTATTAAACCTTGCAACAGTAGCACCATCAATAACTCTATGATCACAACCAAAGCTTAAGTTCATCTAAAATGAGAGATAGAAAATTACAATTTTTCTTGGTACAATCGTCATTTTAGCATCATATCTGGGCACAGTCATCAACCTACCTATTCCAACAATGCAAACTTATGGAGCGAGAATAAGAGGACCAGTGTATGTACCACCAATAGTGCCAATATTGCTCAAACATATTGTTCCTCCAGATAATTCATTATAACTCAATTATCCTTTTTCTCCTAAAGTTCGTAGTCTAGAAACTAATAAAGATTTGAATTACCTATTCAATTCATCTTGAATTTAACTAATTGATAGATTCTATACATCTTTGATATTGGGAACCACTAAACCTTTAGGAGAGTCTAAGGCTATAGATACATTATGTGATAAATGTTAAGTGTATTCGAATTGTTTAGTAGGATCATATGTGGAATTCAATATGGGATATTTGGTCAAAGCTAAAGAAAAAGACTTGATAAGTAAAGTCATAAAAGTGATGTTCTTTTCTTTTTTCAACTATTCTCTCATTTATGCAAGTTCAGTGAGATCAACTTCCTCCTTAAGATATAAATGTGGTATAGAATTAGCTTCAGTCATTGATTTTTGCATTCCCTTTTAAAAATCAGACATTTTGATGACAGTTGATGTTGATTCACTTTTGGTGGTAATTTTAGTTGATGATTATGATTATTCTTTTTAAGATGGTACTTGTTCTTTTTTTTCAAGATCTGACTTTAAAATTCTGCCATCCTAACCACTGCCTTAAATTTTACTTAAATCTATTCCCTTTTACTTTGCCAAATGGCGTACTGCAGGTGTTGCTAATTTGTGATTCTAAAGATAAATCATCTAATCTTACAGAAGCTGTGCTGTGAGTTTGGATTGTTTATTTGATTTCTTACTGTTTTATGTCTTCTTATTTCACAGTATGATCATGACTCTATGTAGATGCTGTTTATTGATTATCTGATTCTATTTCTATTTCTAAGAAATCTCCCCCCACTAAACAGGTTTCATCTTCTTAATGGAACAGTTTGTGAATCTTTCCTGTATAGTTACTTGGAATCTGAGTGAACATCTTATCAGTTGAAACATCCGCAACAGGATCAAACTATTATCAAAAAAATGACGTACTTCATTTACATGATCTCCTATTTTTACATGCCATTTTTTTATTGTGGCTTCCTTAATCTCTAAAATCATTATAACTTTTACTTTCACCCAAATCAGGCAATTTAAAGATCTTTACGGTCCCAAAGTAATATCTACTCAAAAATCGGGAATATATATTCATTATTTAATTATAAATAAATTCTTTACATCTTTACTTTGAAATCCAAAAACAATATTATTATAGCAAGTTTTAAACATATTTACAAATTTATCATACTTATCCTGAAGAGTAAGTTTTAATTAAGCATAATCACCATTAAAATTAAAGAGAAATTTCCTTTTCTTTTTAAATAACACTCACATCTTTATAAATATTTAAACAAAGTACATATTTTCAAATTAATCAACGATTTAAGTTTCCTAAAAATTAATTTATTTCGTGTCTCATTGTTCAATTAAATTAGAACATATTAATATACTCTAAAAGTTCTGAAATATAATCTTATTTATTAATTCACTCTTTAGATTTATCTAACTATATTTAAAACATTTATAATAAAATTTCATTAAAAAATAAATATTTAGTTTTTTACATTGTATAAATAATAATAAATTTGAATTCAAATGCTTGATAATTGGTACTTCTTTTCCAACTATTTTTTAGTGACTCCATTAGAAAAGGACTTCTCTATACTCCTACTGTAGGAGAATAGATTGATGAGGATATTGCAGCTTCATTTGAACATAAAAGAGGAATCAATTATTAACATGAATATATGAGACTATACATTGCTAATGTTGTCTTAACTCAATAACTAAAAGAATTGCTCTAAGAAAAGGGGGATTTAATCTCTAAAATCAATCGACTTGAAGTATTTTTTACTTAAAATATTAGGATGCAGAGATTTGTAAAACAAATTCCAGAAAACTAGATTTTGAGGAATCTAAAAAATCAGAAGGACCCTCAAAAAAATAAATAGGTATTTAATCTATAATTATCATTAGAGCAGAAGGTTCAACTAGATACAATGATGAAAATGCAGTCCCCAACCATCAATATTAAACTAGAAAGTTAATTAAGAAGAATTGAATTATTTTAATTGGTTATTCAATCACTCATCTGTTTCTTTTGTTAATTAAACTTTATTCTAAAAAAAATATATCTCTAATTATTTTTTAATATGCATTTCTCAAAATAATTTTAGCTATATGATTAACAAAAAGGTTTTTGTTACCAGATTATGTTTTTAATGATAACTACTTAAGAGTATTTCAATTTCATATATATTTATTAAATTTAATTATCTTGGCATTATAAATTCTTAGTTTTTAAGATCATCTTAAATAGACCTTTTAAATAGTTCACCATAAAATCAAAAAATGTAATCTAAGATGGTTATTGTATTCTATTTTAACGAATAATTCTATTTTTTTCATTCTATTCCTTCTCTTTTTCATATTCTTGATATAATAGCGCCTTAATCTCTTATTATTCTAACAGTAAATCACAAGAGATTCTTATCCTGGATATTTAAATTTATAAAAGGCTTTTAAATTATTTTTTATTATAGATTTAGCGCTCATTATTAAATCAGAATTTATATAAATTAACTAAATAATAAGTATTTTATACTTTATCGAAACTTGAATTGTAATATTTTCTTAACAATTTGTTCATATTATTTTATATCTTAGAAAGTTTTAATTATCAATAGACTCAGAATTTGAAAGTTTGCATTGATAATAAATAGTATTTTATAATTTAATACATATCTAATTTTTTCAGCTAATTTGAAATCTTCAGTTGTGCTTTTTGCAACATATTTCATCTTTTCTTTTCTGAATCTTCTATTTTCGTTTTGTAATGATCATAGACTTAACGAATTTCTTGAAAGTTATTAAATTGGATTTTCAGAGTTTCTATTGTTGAAAAAACTATTCTAAAAAAATTGTTATTAATCTTTGATA